GACGCACTTGATTTTGGCCCATGTACCAGTATGGCAATGATTTCTTCCACACAGTGCTCTACTTGTTAATGTTTGCTGTACAGAAAGAAAATTGAATAAGTTTTAGAATAATTCAAAATATCATTTAGAGGACACATGAAGGTGTCTTTTGATACTGTGTAGATCTTTTATAATCTTTTGTTCAGACAAGACAACAAGTATTTGCTAACAATGCACCAACTCATAGTGACAGGACTCTTCTGCATAAATTCGCTTATTGCAACTTGTCAAATTACCATTTCATTTCCACCACAAAATCATCCAAGATGAACTTGACTTTAATTATCAAGTTGCAGTTTAGTTATTTGGACTTCACTTGCTGTTTCTCTATCTAAACACCTTTGCGACAACATTTTATTACAGCTAGTCCCTCTTCACCCCAGAATTATTGTTTACCACCAATCTTTTGTTTATTATTTAATCACTTTTTGGATGCCATTATGATTTTGTTTTTATTACTTCCGTGGATAGTTATATTAAAGCAGAGTAGCTAGTGACAACAATTGGTGTTTTTGGCTTTATTGTTATTCCTTTTTTTAAAACAGCCTTCTCTGTGTGGTAACTCGTCTGTTTTGTCTGAAGAGTAGATTTACTAAACTAAGTAAAGAACTTTCGGATAGAATATTATGTTAATGTTAAATATCTAGAGATTGATAACTGTTTTTTTGTGATAAATGATGAAGTCACCTTTCATCATTGAAATTCTTTTGTTATATTTTGCATCAAACATAGATCCCCATTCTATTGTCATTGAGATCTACTCTCATTGAGATCTACAAGCAGATCTGGTTGCTATTGGTGCTTTTAATTGCTTTCCTTATTTGGATGTTAGGCTTAAATAAAGTAATCACTACAACTTGAACAAAAGATAAAATACATTACATTTCTGTGTATAGATCGATAGGTTAACTTATTGGGACGGCGTCTCCGTAAAAACGAAGGAGCATGAAGTATATAGATGAAACCATGTTGAGTGGTATTTTTTATACTAGTGTGAAGGTTTCATGGAGTGTTATCAGAGTTGAAAGAATGTTGATGCGTGTAGTAACTATTTTATACCTCTCTAATCAACAATTGTCGTAGTATATTACTAGTTTCAGATAGTTTGTGTTTCTTTTCGTTTTCAAACATCAAGTCTCACTTAAATTCGTTTTTCTTCTCGGTCCGTTCTGCATCTGAATGACGAGGCCTTACTGCATAAATATATGAATGCCTAGGTAGCATAATGATAAAAACACAGCATTTAAATTCACATTACCATTAAGTAAACTTTATAACTTGTATATGGTATGACATGTGGTTTTAAAACGACAGTTGGCCAAAGAAAAGTTCCTGAACTCTAGATTACAGTTTGATGAAACTGGTAAAATGCTCGACTTTACTTTCTCCACTTTCAGCTCGAACTAAAGACAGAAGCCTTATTTGGAATAAAATTTTTCTAAATCTTCCATGTAATATTTTGTAGATTGAGCTGAAAGATGTTGCTGCCGACGCTGTTAAGGACCTCATTGACTATGCATATACAGGGGCTATCCACATTGATGACAACAATGTCCAGTCATTGGTTGGAGCATCCGATCTCTTGCAGTTCAAAGCGGCAAAAGAGTATTGTGGAGACTTTATTGCTTCGCAGATCGATGCATCAAACTGCTTGGAAATTTATCAGTTCTCCGATCAATACTCCTACAGCGATTTAGCTTGTAAAGCGCTCGCTTTCTTCAAATATAACTTCAGTGATATGCTTGATTCAGAACAATTCCTGAGTTTGAGTTTTTCATTATTAAAAAAGCTTTTACAAAGCGATGACATACTTGTAAAGAGTGAAAACGATATTTTGTCAGCTTGCTTTGAATGGGTGCAGCACGATGCAGTTAAACGTAGTACCTATTTGACCGAGCTACTACAGTCTGTCAAATTCTCGTTCATGGGACCTAGACAACTTCTTGATACCTTGGATAGGTATGCAATCAAAGATTCATCTTTGCAGGTCAGAAAAATCCAACTCTTTCCAACAAACGCAAAGTACACTCGATATCAAAAAATGGTTGGGTTAATGAGGAGCTCATATCAACAATGGCTGCACGTATTCGGAGGGGAAAGGTCGTTTCTCAATGAAATTAATGATGTCGAATGCTTCTCTTACCATAAAGAAATGTGGGAACTCTGTAAGCCTTTGAAAGCTCCCAGATCTTCTTTTGCTGCCGTTGTTATCGGAAAAAAGTTGTATATTGTAGGGGGGATCAGGACTAGCGTTAAGCTACGAAGTGCCAAATGTTACGATTCTGAAACTGGCAAATGGACCACCCTGCCACCACCGTTGAAATGCAGAGGTGACGTCAAGGCTGCAGCGATTGGTGAAATGCTTTATGTTGCTGGAGGTTCGGGCGACAGAGAGTCTGCCTGTAGGTTCGTATTTACCCTGAGCATTTTCACAAAATTTTGCTTGCCTGATTTTTTTTACTTCGAAAGTCAAGCAGTTACCTGATCCACTTCATGTTTTCAGATCAATTTGGAATCTGATAGATTAATTCTCATTTGAATCGAATGTCAAAAAAATTGAAAGAAATCACAACACTAGGCAAAATCTTTGAAAAAGTTTGGCCAAGTGTGATTCAGCAGAGAACAATGCATTCATTAAATTACTGTTTTACTCAGTTGTGAAGAAGATGGAAAGCTAATGATAAACCTTAGATGACTATTCACCATTTTTTGACGTGTGTGAGAGCCATTTTTCGAGCCTCAACGACCTTTCTGTTTTTGTATACCATTAATTGAACTTGTTGAATTTATAAAGCGGTTTAGTGAGCTTACCAGGTAGGCCCTCGACATGCCTCTCTTACCATATCGATCGTATTGCATCTATTACCCCTAGTGCAAATCTATCTTTTTAAACATTTCCTCTTTAACTGCATGAGAAAATTCTTTTGAAACCCAGCTACCGGAAAATGGGGAGGATTGGGGATCTAGAGGAACAAAAAAATTTTTGCATCTGGAAGTGTTTCCATCGGTAAACTGCACATAAAACTTCGGTTATTGAGTTCATGACGACAAGAGACCGCAAGTAAACCCCGTTACAACAACGCTTCTTCACACAATGGAATTTCGAATCGAGAAAAGTTGATAGAATAATCATAGAATTCTTTTGAAGAAAAGGTAGAGAAAAGTTTTACCAATGTGGGCGAAGTGATTTTTTATTGTCTGTCACCTTGCCCCCCCCCCAATTCTCGTCCAATTTATACAAATAAAAAATCGGCCGTGACGAATTTTGGGAAAGACAGGTCCTCCCTAGACCTCCATGTGGCGCTGCCTCTGGAAGTGTTTACACATAACGCATAATACTTCGGTTAAAGAATTCATGAATAGGGAATAATTGATACTGTGCTATATCTGCTCTGTTAGGACAAATACAATCGTAACAGTCCCATGGTTTGGATCATCGATATTTTTCCAATGATATTTTATTTTGAGAAACATCTCAAGTAGTTTTAGCACTGTTATATAATTTTATGTAATAATTTTGATGATTATCTTAACGCTAGTTCTATTAATAATCATGCTGTCAGTCTAAGCTTTTTTATTTTGTTTTCGCACACCAGAATTATTAGGCATCAAAGCTACAATAAGTTTTGTACCATTAACAAGTATTTGAAAATGGAAAATTGAGGGAATGTGTTTCTTGAAACGATATTCAAATGACATTCCTCTGTTTCTTAACAAATTATCAGCTGAATTTCTGTAATTTTTTCTGATTTTCTTTTCTTTGAAGAAACCTTGAAAGGTATGACCCTGCTGCAAAAGCCTGGACTAGACTACAAAAGATGAAATCCTGCAGAAGAAGGTTCAATTTGATTGCTTTAAATGGACTGCTTTACGCACTTGGCGGATTTGATGATAAACAAGGGGATTTGAATAGTATTGAGCATTACGATCCCAGCGCAAATTCATGGACGCAAGATGCACCCATGATAACAGCGCGTAGTGACTTTGGAGCTGTGGCATTGTCAGGAAACATATATGCAGTGGGTGGGGTGAACGGGACACGGGGATCCATGGAATCAGTCGAGAAATACGATCCAGTCAAAGGAGGTTGGGAGCAGTGTGCCAGTATGCGAAACTGTCGTGGCGGTTTGTCAGTCGCGGTCTACTTTGGCCGGATTGTTGCCTTCAGTGGAATAAATATCTATATGTCTTCAATAGAAACTGCAGAATATTATGACGAGGTTGAAAACAAATGGTACCCATTCCCGTCATTGCGGATCGCACGGTCTGGCAGCGCTGCCGTGTGTCTGCCATTCAAAATGCCCCAACTGCCTTGCCAAGTCGCAAGCGACTGAACCGAATTGATGTTCTTCTGAGTGATGGTTTATTATCATTTTTTTCCAAATGGAGGTTTGCGAAGGTAGAGTGTTGAAGAAAGTCGTCCTCGAATTTATGATAAGATTGACACGATCAGCAAAATTTTGGCAATGGTGAATATTTTATAATTAAGCAATCGAATTTTATTTGAACTGGAAATTCTTTCTTGATTTTAACGCGTAAATGTCTTTTATAACGATCAATGTAAGTAAATTGTACCAGGAAATTTTTTTTAAATAAATAAAGACATTTCGTGCATAGCCCGTTATCAAGTAAAATTGAAAAGCGATGATAGAACTGAAAAACGTTGTTGCCGTTAACGTAGACCGCGACTGACAAAGTAGCCCTTTTACGTTTTTTCCTGGTACAATTTACTTACATTGAACGTTATTATAGCATCATATTGTACCGCACGCAATCTAATATATAAATGTCTTTTAGCCTGCATAAAATGTGCATAATAGCTATTTAAAATATATTTCAAGAAGTGAATAATTGGTACATGAAAAAAGCTGACACGTTAGTAATCAGCGTTAAAAGTAATGTGTATATTTATTTATGTATAGTAATTTTCTTCGTTGGAAGAATTATGAAAAGCAACAGCGTGACATTTGTATTCTTCTCAAGTGAGCTATGATTGGTCGGTCATATTGATTTTGTTCTAAGGTTTTTTTTGTTTCTACCTAGTATGCGAAAGTAGGTTTTAGGACACTAAGAAGCTATTAGACAAGGAATTTCGCATAGCCATCTAGTAACCTTTCTAAACCAGATTTTTTGAATTTTAAGTCATAAAAGTAAATACCACCGATCATTTTAAGCATTGGGAATATTCTGGAAGTGTGGCAAATGGCCAGAAGTCACGTTACCGGAACTGTGAAAAACGTGCGGTCAGCGAAATTGTCAACCTTCGGATTTTTTTTAAAAATCTGTTGGTAATAACAATTTTTGAATCGAACAAAAAATAACAAGATCATGAACTTGATCTGATTTATAAGTACAAATCTCCGAAGTTTTGAAGTGACCTGTAAGTAAGCCTATCAGTAAGTCTGAAGTGACCTATAAGTAAGCAATTTTCCTCTCTGAAGTTTAATGATAGCTGCAAAATTGTGCATTTTACGATACACAGTTTGATATGCTGAATAAAATGACATGCATATAAAGCTTCAAAAATGCCCCTAAAAGCTACTTATACTACTGGTGTACCTGTACCCAGTCCTCTTTGGTTATAGCAATACAATCTCCTAACTTGACCATTAGTCATTTAAAGACATAAACGGAAACGTTTTTTTCTGGCTTAATTGACATGTTGAATAAAATGAGGTGCAATTTAGACCGGAACCGCCCCCATGACTTGTACCCAGTCAACTTTTATGAAGAACACACGAACACATCAGCTCTATTAAAAAATGCATTATCTAATGCAGCATCTGTACTATTCCTGAGTTATTTTCCCCGCTTAAAGTGTAGAAATGCGTAGTGCCTTTGTGAAATGCGTACATATGCGCCTTGCTTACTGTTTTCTTGAATGAAACCACCCAGGAAAGTGCCGTTTCTGTTTATTCTTTAACCAAGGCTATGCAGAGATGAGTAGAAAGTAGATATAAAAAGCACAGCTACTGGAAAATGCTTAGTTCATTGGTACATTGTTAATGTTAGTTCCAACTTTCAAGCAAGACTCTTCATTAACAACATATACAGCAAAATAGAGACCTTTTCTGCTTCGTCGTGTGTTTTGGCCACATTTTTGTCCGGTTAGCTATTGGTGTTTTCCTTTGAGCTTTGAATCTCTTGCATGTAGTGCCTTTTTAAGCCTTCAAGGTAAACCCTCAGCGCAACATCGTCTAACTTTGAATGCTGTGCAACTTGGAGTAAGCGAGTTCCTAGTCGAAAAATGGCCCTCCTCTTTCTTGCCTCTTGTGGTACTTCTCCATGCACCTAGAAAGATCCGACGGTATTTCTTTTATTTTCTTAGATACAATAACTGGTGTTGCAGTACTTCAAAGTACGACTTCGCGAGCATGTGTATATCATTGCACAACTTCCAGTTATTATTCTATCTATGATTTAAACAACATAAAATGAGCACGTTTTGAAAAAAATGTTGAAGATGGCCATTCTTTTGGAAGCATTGAAATCTCATATTCACTGTTGTTAATGCAGCGAAATATTACTACTTTGTACACAGAGAATTTATCCCTTATTCTACATTATTCGTCTTTCTACGTTATTTATCACTTTTATACAAATATATTCAATCTTTCTTACGTTGTTTTCACGATTTCTGATATTGCTAGAAATGGTCATTGCTGTTTCAATCAAACTCTCTGGCAAAGATGACATCTTAGCAAGGCTGATACCTAGAAACAATATAACCAAGTGAATCCGACTTTGCTTTCATGCTCAGTTTATTGTACAGAGATACCATCTGCTGGATAAGCTATCGCCAACTTTTTCTTTGCATTTAAATCATTATCTTGCGTTCATTCTGCTCTAAATATTATCTTCGAAGAACCCGTCTTCAATAGTCTGCGCGCAGGCTAGTCTTCAAGCGCGCAAATCAGCGCAAATTAGCGTTAAATCATGGCCTCAATAAAGCGGATTTGAGCGTCCTCTATCTATTGCATTCAAATTTCTTGCAACTTGACAAAAATCAGAAAAGTTGTGCTGCTACGAACAGAAATACAAGGAAAATATCTCCAAATAGAAGTTACAATAAAGATTAAGTGTAAAAATTGAAAAGTAGCTTTGCAGATGTAGAAAACAATAAAATTACAATACAAACAAGTTGAAAAGCTTTCCCTCGAGGCAAAAAATGAAATTGCATCATTCAGGCAAGAAACATATGTGGAAAACCTTCAACGCCATTTCCGCAGATGGTTGCATTCTTACATATTAAAATAAATTTTTCGTCTCTTGATGATAATTTTTCGATACATAGGCATCTGATCTGTAAATTATTGGACTGAAATAGTAATATCAATTTGAATGAATTTGCCCATTTCACAGCAAATTTATTTCAAATCTCAGCAATTTTGCTAAAAGTGGCACAATAACGAAAATTATGCAAACCATAGTTGGTTTGTTGTGTCCTTCCTTTTGAAAGAACATGATTGAATACAAGGCTCGGCATCTCACTCTCGTCAGATCTCTGCAAGGTATAAAATACATGAATTGATCGACATCAGATGTTGCTATTCATTAATGTTTTTTTATTCATGTTGCAGTAAGCTACAATATATTAAGAATGGCGAGCTCCATTAATTAGGATTCCCCAATCTTTAGAATTTTAGATAGAGATTTAGATTAGCTAAGCTAGCATGAAACAAAGTGGTTGACAGGCCTTGTCACAATATTACTTTGCATCTTCGTGCTTCTTTTCGGCATTTGTTTCGTATTACCCAATTTCATTCACTTTATTACTTAATCTACTGTACCTACACAACGTTTACTTTAGGGGTTGAAAAGGCCTATCCTCGTCGTATATTTTGTATCAACGAACGTCGATCATAAGCATCCGGGCAAATAAAAGAAAACTTTAAGGAATTTAAAAAACTCACGTGAACAGTCATGTGATAGCTGAAAAAGTAAAATGAGCCAGCTGGTAACAAGCATTTATCACAAAAGTAAGAAATAATTTTTTGAAATGCCAAGAAGAGTAAAAACAAGAAAAAAAGAAAAAAAAAGAGAAAAAAAGAGAAAAAAAGAGAAAAAAAGAGAGAAAAAGAGAAAAAAAGAGAAAAAAAGAGAGAAAAAAGAGAAAAAAGAGAAAAAAAAGAAAAAAGAGAAAAAAATAGTTTGGATAAACATCCAGACTTCTGTAAATAAGTTTATTAGTCTCCTTTTAAGTCGTTTTTATTCTTAATAAAACAAAAGAATAAAAAACTTTCTGCTTCTATGGAAAAGTGAGTTTTTTCGTGTGCCGGTGTTGGCTGAAACAGAGTTGACAGAGCTGGCTGAAACAAACAGAGTACAAACCTTAAATAAGCTGGCTATACTTACTTTTCTGAACAAGGATACATCGTCTCTAAGTTACAAAGTTCCATGAAATGTGTTGCGAAGAATGTGAATGCCTATTTGAAATATTGATTAGAAGTTTCCCGGTGGAATTTGAAAACGAAAAGTAAAGATTGATAGAATATCCCTACAAAGATTGTGCGGCTTTTTTGTAATAGTGATAAAAAGACAGCAAAAGCATAAAATACCAATCAAATATAAAGAATAGCCAAAATTCTGGAATGAAATTTCAATGAAATGTTTTAAATACAATAATCTCTTGGCAATGCGCCATGCAGATTGAAAATCATTCATTATATTGAACCTTAAGATATAATATTGAACCTTGATCTGCAACAAATGTTCACATATGCTGTAACATATGCCAATTCCCTCATCAACGCTCGTCCCTAAAAAGAATTGTTGTTAGTATTCGTGACGTAATGAATATCAAGCAAAGATTCAAAAGTAGACATTTTAAGAATATATCATGGCCTTTGAACCGGTTTGAACCGGCATAAAGTATTATGAGGTAAGATAAGACATCTCGCGTTAAAATACTTACATTTGTAATGTTCTTAAAAATGACACCTGTCAAATATTTCAATCGTTTAAGTTGAGAATACAGTATATATCTGCTGTGTGTCATCTGTGCAATTTAGTGACATTGAGTCTCGGCTAGAAATTTAGTCATATTGAAATAATTTGAGACATGGGTGATGTCAGCTCAAATTCAATTCCTTAAAAAACTAATGAAATGAACAAAAAATTGCATACCTCTTCCTAATTCGTCAATTATTATCAATGATTTGTCACTTGCATTCTAGAAACACAATTTGGTGCTGTAGATGTCTGGTTATAACAAACTAAATGTTATCAACATTTCAAAAATTCCATGAAAGAAAGAAATGACTTTTTATGGTGGCATAGATGGAAACTTAGCTCCCTAAGAAATTAAATAAAAACTAACTTACCTTCAAAATGTAGTTCATTTCTTTCATCTAGAAAGATATCCGTTTTATATACAATACAATAAGATGTACAAATGCTTTTTTACAATACACTTGTTTCAGAAATAGAAAATACTGCTAGGACGATACCCCAGGGAGGAAAAAGCTATGTCTACTCCGGGACCAATAACAAAAAATTAGAACAGTTTCATAAAGTATATTTGAATTACTCAAAAGATGCTAGAAGGGATAAGATCATTGCTTTTAACAAAGTTTGAGATGTTCTTAATCAGTTAGGCCAGTGGAAAATCTGTTTTGTATTCGAATATATGAAAGTTCAATTGGCTGTTACCAAGCCTAAGTTTTGTGATATAAGAAAATCTTATTGACTTGAAGAAATGGAAAGACAAGTCATATCTGTATCCTTAAAAGAGCAAAGAATTTAGTATAGGATGAACAACCATTCGTAGTTTACCTCCAGGGTGAAAGTTGATGAATTTGTTTCGATGTCGTCGTCAGTGCCAACTCTAGCAAAAATTTGATCAGCAAGCCTCAAGGATGCATACTCAGCTGGGACAAAGGAACCAACCTGTGCCATGACTTGCAACAACACAATCTGCTTCAGGTATGTAGATTTGCCGCTCTATAAAGTTGTGTTTGTTGAAAGTAACTAAATATTTGCTTTCAATTAATATAATTTAAAGGTTTATCAAACATACCTGACTAAAACGATCTTTAAGCAGAAGAGTGAGTATCAAAAAGTAGATAAACGAAGTTTTTTTACCATGTTTGGTCCTGTCATGATGATAAAACAGCTTGCTTCAGACGCATACTGAAATGATATAGAGTTAACGTCTTATATTACTCTTCAAGATAAATATAGAAAACAAAGAAATATAGAAAACATAGCAGGGTGATGATTTTCATAATTGAAAGATCTAACATAGCACACAACGCATTCATAATGTTTATGAATTTTCCCAAGAAAGAAATATTAATGACGATACATCAAATTGCTTCAACATTTTTGAAAATACATCATAAAAAGGCAAATGAAATCATTTCTAGGCAGGGCCATCATGATTCAAGGGTTAGAAGTGTAACGTATTGATTGCATTCTATGGCGAACGAGTGCCTTGTATTGGACATACAAATTTGCTCAGCCTTTTCACTATTAAAATACTTGTTCGAATTTTTATCTACTAGTATAATAAATAATGGAATCACTCTGAGCAACTCTTACAATGTCATTGGGGATAACTGATCCAGGACTGCTTATTTTGTCTAGAATTGGATGTCGTCCGCTCTTTATAGCCAATGTGTCAGTAAACTCCGGTCGCACTGAATGAAGTAAATAAATTGTTAAGTTTATCAAATCAACGTAAAAACTTGATGAAAAAAATCAAAACTTTTTCACGGCTTGGCTGCTTTTAGGTAATTTACCTGAGCCATCCGCGTTCTGAAAAATTGCTTAACAGGGAAAATGAATACGGGTGTTGAGTGGATCAAGATTCCAGTGATTAAGTTTAAATTGCTTGATAATTTTCAGTGGAAAAGAGGACACACAGTTTTAAAGAAGAGAAGCGGCGATCTTTGCACTAGATAATTAAAATCACAAACGTCATTTGAATAAAGAGTAAAAATAAAATCGATAAATTTACAGATACAAAAAGTCATTTAATCAATGATATTCCTTACCATAGTTTGATATGGAACATGCGTGAGTGAAGGAAACAATCAAATCAAGAATTGAGACACCCTCAGCCAGCTTATGCATGCAGCTAATGTACTTTCGTATATTAACCATTAGCTCAGAGATAACCCTATAGCGAAGATATAATGCGCAATATTGACTACACAGGCCATTTGATGATTGCTCTAAATAATTCTCCGGTTGCACATGCAAATGTATTTCTATGAATTTGTCTGTATACATTTCTGTCGAAATCTCATCATGTAACAAATTTCTAGGCAAAATAACTAATCTTAATTAAAGGGTTAATAAATGAAAGTAGCTGGTGGGACTTATTACTTAGCATTATCGTCTGTTAGACGGGCAAGATCTTCGGGTATGGATACATGAAAGCAAAAACAATACGAAATTTAAAGAATAACTTCATCTTCAAATATACTTCAAGTTAATTGCATAAACTCACATTGCAGTCAGAAGGTAAATTTCATTGAGCGCTTCAGTCACGCGGCCTTTGAAGAAAATTAAATTTATTGGAAAGGCACTATATAAAATGCCTAAACTTGTCTGCATAAAGAATTGCATAATTCACAATTTGGATTAGCCCGAAGCATAAGAAATTTCACCATAGTCATGCAGTTCAGCTAGGCATTTCTTGAATTTAGAATGGTAAAATACTTATTTATCAACTTTCACTTGGATTTTTCTAATATTATTCTGACTAAATCTATGCAGCATAGCATTTGCTAAATTAAGTGGAAAAATTCAAGTCAACACAACACTTGAAGATCTATGACATAAAATAGAAGCCATCGAAGATTGTTGGCATCAAAGATAATAAATCTGGTAATGGAATATTTCTGAGCAAAAAGCACGGCATGAATTGCAATCTACCTTTATCTATTATTACCGTTAGGCTAAAAACAGAAGCAGTTGTCCTAGAACTCATACAACTAGGAAATCAATTCACTTCTAGAACAATGGTACCTCTTTATTGAACCAGCCCCACATCCAAAGAGTGTAGCCAACATCGTTTAAGATAAAATAAAAGCTGTAAAGTTTTCGTCAACTTCTTATAATCAAACTTACCATTCATTTTGATCTGCAATTTTCAAAAAAATGCAATATATAAAAACATGGCGTTAAACTATTTAAGATATTTATTGCTTTTTCAAAGCAAAAAACATTTTCATTTCTTTCTGCGTGTCCCGTTATTGTAGTAAACATGAATCTATATAATTTTTAAAGTAAACACGACTCATCATCCATGCAAATAATAACTGAATGTTTTATTTATCATGAAAAACGAGACGAATCAATGTAAGGTGCAGGACTGAAATTTTGATAAATTGGAATGAAAATTGAAATTTAAAAGGTGTTATTTTGTAGTCTATTACTTGAGTATTTTCAACCTTGGAGTCATTTGCAAAGGCAATTGCTCATATGTAGAAACGAAGGACGTGACTTCGTTTTCAAAAATCTGTTCAATACATTCAAGGTTAACCTTTTAAGTTTTGAAATATCAGATGTGAATGAATTAACCCTGAAAAATTGCAGATGCTTTGAAAACATCTCTTTAACCTCTCGAACATACCAAGTCATCTGTTGTGCAAGTAACGAGAGACTTTGTTTTCACAATTTTGATAAAGAAATCAGGAAGCGAGTCAATGGGAACATTGTCGCATATCTGAATGAAAAATCCACGACCAACACTGTACGAAGGCTTCAAGGTCATACCATAACGGTCAGAAAGTTGCTTTATAAGCTCTAGAAAAAAATTATTATCAATTTCCTTTGAGGTCGTTAAAATTGAAACAGAAACCTTACTTAAAGAAAACGCAAACAAAAGATGGCTCATAAGACGTTGTCTTGAAGGTAGAGCCTATTCAAAGTTAGGCAAACAGATAAAGTCACTTGCACATTCTGAAGAAATTGCATTTAAAACATAACGACAGCTTATATTGGACCATAATATGTAGTAGCCAGATCTATATAATATATTCATTATTCATTAAGCCATCATGAAAAAATTATCTTAAAATATCATGTTTCGAAGAAAGGAAGAACTAATCTATACCTGCAATGTCATCGATACATTCCGTGTACACCTTTCTTACAACATCCAGCATTCCTAAGAAAAGAATCTCGAAGTCATTCATGCCTTAAAAGAGAATTCTCTATACATATTTTTTCCCCGTTTTTAGTGGACAAACTTGAAAATGCTGTTGTGTCATATATTTAACGAAAATGAATCGTGATCGAAAGTATTCTACAACATTTTGCTTTGCTAAAAAGGCATCAACAGGCAATCACTAGTTTCAGTGAGTTACAACTTTATACAAATCAGACTTTTATAGTCTAGGAAAGCAATTATTCAAAAAGACTTACCGTTGATACCAGGCTGTTGAGAGACAAAATAAAGATTTAACTCATTTTCATACTTTTAAAAATTTACAGCAAAATGAATACTGCATATTACATTTAGTGTTGCTTTTTTAAGCTTTTGCAGCTGCATTGACACACTATACCAATTTTTTGGCTATCAAAAAAATCGCTGCTATTTAATCTATCAAAAAAATCGCTGCTATTTAATCTACCACTCGAGAAATAGTATCACAAGTACATTTGTATTTAGTTCCTTATATAATGATATCTTCAAATTTCTAATCACAATGTTGTTTTCTGATTTTGATTTGAAACAAGATCAATTGATTTGATAGAGGAATCTCTAACCGTTGAAAATGTTTTTAAAATTAAGTAATAGAAGATAGCCCTCCGTTGACAGATATTGTTGCTTGCTAATCCAACGAATAGCATGAAAACCTTTTCAATTTATCATCAGGGTGTTACAATGATTTTATCTTTGCCAGAACAAGCCTCTGTTATTTGCATAGAATAATGATTGATACCAACATGAAGGAAAACAAGTTAAGGAACCTTGATGAGAAAAACTTTCTGGGTTCTCATGTTGAGAGTACCCTTCTGAAGCATGGTTTCTTCGTTAATCACTGTCTGTATTGTTTCAAGCAGAAGGCTAAATCTTTCATCTTCTAATGCCTTTAGCAAATAAAGAATATACATACAACATGGTAATCTTTGTATTCAAGGAAATTATATTTGGCAGGCGTTAAATTCCTTTAAGCAAACATGGTAAGAAATAGCATTATCGATTAAAGAGCTTCGAATTTCTTTCTTCTTATTAGCAAGTAAACAGCCTGAAATGACTATCAAGCTTTGCATTAAATTTGCAATACAGAAATTGCGTCTCAATAAATTGAAATACCCTATGCCATCACCTCTGTGTAAATGACAAATAGTGGATTCTTTCCCTCTTTGATCACATCTTTGAGAGACTCTACCAGTTCTAGTGTGTGCTTTAAGTAGATAATCTCTGTTATTCGTGTCTCGGCTGCTTTGACATCTTCTTTCTTTGGAATTTGTATGCACAGTGATATCAGATGCTCTATGTCCAGAAACTTTGAAAGCACTATCAAAAATGTACTTTTAAAGCTTCAATTTTTAAAAATAAAGCAAAACAAGTTGTTTGATATATATGTCAAGGACAAATCCAAACCAAAATGTCAAGAGGAAGTTTCAAATGTTTTGTTTCACCATTATAGAGCTTTTTGACAAAAACTTGGATTGGTTTATCACTTTTTAAAAATTATATAAAAAAATTTCGAAAGAAAAAGCCTTCAGGTTAACTGTGTGATAAAACTTTTTTAAAATAACGTAATTGTAGCATTTCAACATCTAATTGTAATGTATCATACCTGCTTGAAGATTGAGAAACAATTCCTGAAAAAAGTCAGAGAAAGTTTTTGATTTATCAATGAAGGTTTAATTTAAATTTGATTAACTTCAACATCAAACAATCAATAATTTTTAAAAAGCGAATGTAGATTGGCATTAAAAGGATGTATAAAAAAGCTGATTGCTGGGATCTGTTTTAGCAAAACTTTCTAACGAACTTAGGAATTCCAGCAAAAAGGATAGTTTGCTTTTGAGAAGAAATGTAGTTAGAAGCATTCTTCGACTATAAATTTCCATATGAACCTAGATCATTATGCATTGAAAGAAAATACACGCTCTCGTTGTTAGATGATTCATACTTCTTTATCCATCAGTTCTAAAATAAATAAGAGCAAAAATTGCATCAGAATCTATCAACGAAATACCTACACAAGACTAGATTTACTAAAGTTTTAAACTCTTTAGCCACATGTTTAGTGTAGAAAATCGTATCATTTTGAAAACAGCAGCGTTATTGTGTTATAAAGACAAATAAATCTAAAAGATTTGATAGAGTTATTTGGATAACTTTTAAATCTTGTTGGATAACACAAGTAATTTCGTTCTTGTGACAAGTAGCTTGGTTGTAATATTTCCTCACAGCTCCTGATATTATATGCATGGTACGGATAGCAGAATACATTTGTGTTTTTGCACATTTCAATAGATTGTTATGACAACCATGAACAAAATATGGTCTCTACGTCACTACTTTCAGTCGATTTAATTCAGTTACCTTCAATACAGCTTAATCTTACATCTATTGTCTGCAAATCTGCAAAAAATATTTCTTTTTCAAAAATATTTGACATAAATTATGATAATATAATTTGCCATTAAAAATTAAGATGTTAAGGTATTGAATGAAGTAATGAAGTTAAGGTATTCATGATAAAGTAAGGCATATTCCGCGTCAAACATCAAGAATCCCTTGAGATATCTGCTGCTGAGGGGCAGCCCTTCTTGAAATTGAAATGTGTATAAGAAAATTTAAGATAGGATGTAATGGATTTTGGCTTGGAAACGCAGATCTTAATAAACAAAACTAAGGCAAGGTTTTTATCATAAAGAATCACAAAGTAAGCTAAGTAACTGAAGAACATGTAAGTATGGCAAACTTCTGTAATCTACCATTAAGATGCAACTGAAGGTTTCTGTCAAATAGCAAGCATGTATCTAAACACCAGCGGTTGTGATTTTTCAACAAATTTGGAAATTTATTGCCAAATAAAAATATTGCTCTTTGCTTGTTGTTTACATGATATTTCAAGAGTTTTGGCTTACCACAGGGAGGTTGAAGAATGTTTGCTCTCAACAATCGTGCTGCAAAAGAATGACTCATTTTGATATTTGCAACCTTGAAGCATCACAAAAAATTGTTCCTCAATTTTTAAAATTGGATTTCGCAATCAGAATCGCATAAATGCTGTATTACTGGAATCCTGCTCTGGCAAAGAGGAGGCGCCTAGCCTTTCATTTTTTGCTAAAATGAAAACTGGAAGGAATAATCCTAAAAAATGGAGAAATAAGGACAAATCCTAAGACTCTTTTTATTTCTAAAAACCATCATTTTTAAAAATAGTTGTAAAGTTGTAAAGATACTCACATCCACCTGGAGTTTTTGTGTGATTCATAATGCCAAACAGTGAATGGCTGCTTCTTGAATCTTTAGTATTTTGTACCAGTTCCAGATTCTTTGCTACTGATGTGTCTAGAAAAGTTTACGACCTTTGAAGTTTCAAAGTTAAGGAATGATATCGTAAAGAGAGCACACTAGATCTTTGAGCAATCAAATTGAACTTGAGGGATAAAAACTTACCAATCATAGTTGTATTTTCACTTCCTTTGAAAACAACCTTTAATGAGTTAGGAGCGTAGACAACATTTTGTATGAACTCAACGTACTTCAGCAACGCCTGCAAGCATTAAGGATTGAGACATCAGAATATCATTCTAAAAGCTTAGTCCTTTATAGACTAATTCAGTTTGTAGACTGTTTTTTAGTCAGGTAAGATAGAAGATGTACTCACAGCAGCTGTAGCCAGGCAGTAATATCTACGACGAAAATAATCAAGCAGTCACTACATGTTAAAAAAAGGGAGCATCAGATTAGTGAAGAAATTATAAACATTTCATCGATACTTTAATGGAAACCCCGTGTAACAGATTAGAGAAGTAGTTTTGGTTGCATGTGTTGATTTTGTTCGTCGTATCTTTGTTTGTGGAAACAAGCCACTAATTTTGAAACTTCTAGATTTGACTTGAATTTGTTTGACCGTCATTACTATGTAAAGAATAAAGCTAGAGAACTAGTTACTTGTGTATTTGCCATTAAAAGAACCATTTTACAATTCCATTTACCAACTTACTTGCTTCTAACAGCGATTTCAACAGTTGCATACTCAGGAGCACAAAGATCCTTTATGTATTGTAAACCTAGAGCAAATAGAGTTCGTTACTGATATACTGCTAAGGTCGTAAGGAGCTGACTGTACCATAGATGCATCATTAGCAGAGCATGTTTTTGTAGATGACGTTATCAGTAAAAAGAGCAGAAAGAAAATCGATTTAAAATAAAAAAAGAGCACCTGCAGTTTCATTGAAGTAACGCCTTTGAACCGTTGTTAAGTTGGTATTCGGATATCTCTCCCGTAAGAGATCGAACAGCGTTGCCATTTTGCCATTTTCGCAGGCGGTGCTTGGCATAAGAATCTGAAAATAAGATTTCCATTAGGTCCTTTGTTTGGGCAAAAAAGACTTCAGTGAATGATTTTTGAAGAAATTCAATTTAATGGCTGAGGCTGTTAGTACATCGCTAGACGAAAATAGAATCAATTCTAGTCAGTTGCAGATTCAGTGTTATAACTGAAGGTTCAACAGCCTGGCTGGGAAAAATAGCACCTAAGGAAAGAAAAAAGATTAAATCCAGATATTAGAAGGGATATCAAAATGAAAAAGGAACATGAAGCTCAAATTTACTACAATCCCTGTCTTGGAACTCCAATCTCAGTTTTCAAAAGGAAATTAAGCCATCCCTGTTTTCTCCTAGGAACAACGTTGGTTTGCAATAGGTAAGCCTAAGCGGTTATGGGATACGCGATGGGCTTGTATGATATTTTTCTAGATCATCAAAATTCTTTTTGGAGAAATTGGGGTTGGAAGTACTAGTATTAGGTAAACAAAATTGGAAATGGAAAAATACGATTTGGGTAGCTTGCATGTAGGAGATGGCAAGGAAGCAAAACAGTTAGAGTTTGACATAATTTTCATTGAAATCTCAATTTTCAAGTCACTAAAATATTGCTGATATACTCTTTCAGTTGGAAAACTTATATTCAGTTGGAAATCACACAAAACTTTTAATAAAATTTTCAATAATAATAAGTTGCAATCTAGCGAAATTGATTATTTAGCTTGAGTGAAAGGGGATACGCTTAAATACAAGACTTATTTAGCTTTCTATACCCCCAATCCTTTGAAAAAAGCAGCAAGTTCTTTGCTAAAGTAGATTTCTAGAATACAGCACTAAAAAAAGTCGCTTCAGAAGTCTCCTTTAGAATGAAAAACAAGGACTACAAAATGATTGATTGGTTTTCATTTTTGATTTAAATAAAAAACCCTTATAGTTTTTGCAATGGCCTACCCACTAAAGTCATTGCTTATGAGAACAATCGATATGAGAGCAAGTAAATATTTGCTATTAGATGATCCTTTGGTCATCAGCTGCTAGAATTTTGTATGGTCACCTTAATACTAATTGCAGTTTTGCATAAAAGTTTGTTTCTCCATTTTTTAAAGCTTGCTAGTAAAACGATCTTTTTCTTTCTTGGTAGAAGATTAAACACTTGCAAACATCAGTTTCTTGTGTGGTGAAATAAACCAAACTTTATTGTTTCAATTCCAGTCAATTCACTCAGCTCTGACTTAAAAAGAGAAGGGATTATCGCTAATCTGCTTCAGGAACTTGGCAACGCTGTTTAATAGGCTCATCACACAGAAGTAAAGCTGTTAGGATACCGTAAAAAACAAAGTCCAAATTCTCGTTTGTACAAACCTCGATTGGCGATAAGATATTCAGTTTTGTAAGCAGTCTCATGTATGATGCTCCATCTGAAAACTGCAATTTGATTGGCCATTAAAGACAATTGGATAATAAGCAATTACATTAAAAGGTGCGTGTTAAAATCCTCCTCCCCTTGTAACAATGGATTGGGAGGCATTCACCATGTTAGTAGAACGTTTTATTAAAATTTCGGATAATAATTGTTTAGACATTCATAAGGCAAATGGTTGACATAGGAGAGCGGTGTTTCTTGTGGCTGCTCTGGAATATGAGTGAACGTGTCACTGGAATCATTTTGCAAAGTGGAAACCACTAGATTATCGCAAAATCCTTCTTAGGCTTCAGGAAAGCTCAAATGCTCCTTTTTTTAGTTTTCATAAATCACCTTTGATATACCAAACAATAAGACATAATCCACAAGAAAACGTTTGAGAAAATAATGTTGTATGGACGATGAAAAAAACATTCGAATTTCAATAAAGTCAAGGCAAACACGCCAAAACAAAGGTAGGTTTATGCTTGTAAGTGGAGCGAGTACTGACATGAATGGAAAAAGGCTAAACATTCTCGTCCTTAACTTTAAGTCGTTTCATGAAAAAACACATTTTTTTCAAATAATTTGTTTATGGAGAATCTGAACTTGACAAGCAACAGAAAAACAAAAGCCGATATATTTATGCGTGAATGATTTTTGAGCCATGCTAAACAAACACACATGGCAATGTCAGGTTTTCCATTTGCTAGGATCTACGCATAAATTCTATATGCTAAGCAAACCAAAGCGGTAATTCTCACAATGGACCACCAAAAACCTCCCATTGGGTCATTACCTTTACAAATTTGTCTGGGAACGGGTAGTTTTGCGAAATCGAGCAGCAAATAACTGACGGAATCCAAGCAGCAAATCACTCCATAGTAGAAATCAGTAAAACCTGAGTAAATCATTCTTTTGTGGAAATCTAGTATTTTCTTAAGTAATTTATGTCGCTAAAAGGTTCGTTGCACTTCTCCTTTTTACCCACAGCTAAGGTTTGAGAATTTTCCGACATAACAATGAATTTTCCGAAAATCTGTAAAAGTTTGAAAGCAGAGCGAGCCAAGGCCCTGCTGCCCCCCCCCCCCGGCCACGACGCCCCTGGGATTGAATTGGAAAAAATTGATCTTTGGATAAATCAACCTTTTAAAGACGTGAACACACCCCTTTTTAAACATAGTGCAAATGTTCCACCCGGCATGCCTTGAGTCAGTTACCAGTTAACAAATATTTAAGCAAAAAGATGCAGTTGGATGGTTATCAAACCCATAATAATGGATCCACAAACAAGTTAGCTGGCATTTCATTCGTCTGGCATCAAGCTCACGGCAAGTTTTTTCGGCATCTGGGGGAGGGGGGGGGGGTGGGCCGTGGTTATGAATATCTACTCTTGCAGTTCCTTGCATAAAGTTTCTGGCGATGCCAGAGGTTTCTGTGGGTTTTTTTTGCAAAGCCATAGGGTATTTTGACACTGTTTGGTATACGTTTAAGGCTTCTAGAAGCATTTGTCTGTTATCCAATCGGGCCGTAACAAAAGTTCCTTTAAGATCAAACATCCTTTTCCATGTATGAAGTTTGTAGTGTCGAGGTTGGTAATTCACAATGTTTGGTAATGGAAACATTATTCCTAAAGTTTGTTCCATTGCAGGTAGGTTGTAATTTAGCTCCATATGTAGTTTACCAATCTCTAATGAATATATGCAGATTACGACACAATTAAAAAACGCAGTCTTCAGAATTCCTGTGGAGGGGGAGACTGCCCCAACCCCTGTACGGTCATCTCTAAGTACGGTCATGCGGCGTCATTTATTTGAAAATCTAAGCATTACTTCAAGGATATGTTAATTGATCAAAGTAGTAGAACTTACTTGGAAAAGAGTCATCTCAGATCCTTTAAGGTCAATTGCAGCCATTCCAATTTCTCCTTTTGCCAAACCACGTCCTTCGACTATAGCTTGAATTATTTCAAAACAAAGAAAAACTAAGAATTTGTAGATTTTCTAGCATTCTCTTTGAGTATATGATGAATGAAGCTACCAGGGTTTGGAGAACAGAGAGAGGTTAGACCCCAAAATAGTTATTTAACCCTTTTTTACAGGTCCATTTGCGTAAATGAGATCATTTGCTATAATTTCGCCAAAATCATAAAAGCATCGTATACAGATGAAAAAGTTATGATAGTGCTGAATGATTTAAGTTCTTGTTGGTAACAATGGTTTAAAGAATATGCCAGAATCTTCATAAAGACCCATTATAGGCTAAATAACAATAATTTAAGAAAGGAACGCACTTGGTTCTAAAGAATAACCTTTTTTCATGACAATTTTCAAGCAAAACTCACCGACAAGAGTGCTTGCATCTAGATGTCTTGGGGTAACCGAGGGACGTGGTGTTTTGCTTGTAGGGCCCCGAGACACTCGATTTCCATAGGGAGTCACTGAAGACCTTCTCCCACTGAATGACGAGGAGCCTCTTCAAGGTGTAGACATGCAATTGAAATGAAATGATTCATTATGGAATATTTATAGAGCATTGATATCAACAAGATTGTTAAATAGAAAACTACTGAAAATAATCACCTCAGGGAGAGAAAGAGAGTGGCATTTTCAATACCCAGATAGTATTTTGAAATGTTTCAGGTAGTTTTTCATGGTTTTAATTCATCATCATTCATTACAAATTTCATTTTTGCTAATGTAGACAAATAAGTTGAAAAAGTATGAAAGTTACCTGATCCTTTCAACTGCATTTTTCGACTTGAGAGATGGCGTGGTAAGCTCAACAGATGTTAAATCGTTTGAAGTGCTTAGAAATCCAATTTCCGCATCAGATGGAGTTGTTAATTGAAATGCTGCAAAATATTACATCTCTCAAAACACACGTTTTTCTTTTATAAAATGACTAAAGTCCGGGGCTGGTGGGCGGTTTCGCATTTTTTGGGCAAGTTGTTTCTTGCGTGTTTCTTAGTGTTTCTTGCGTGTTTCTTAAAGACTTTATAGGTATAATAAATGTTTTTAAATGTGCTTCCAAAAAACAGAACAGAAAAAGGTTAGATCTTAAAGCAAATATAAGCCGAACCATCATTCTAAGATTTGCATGTCAAATGGAGTTTTGTAGTATATAGTGTTGTTCAATGCAGCCACGTAGCTGTAGAAATCGACTGGGATGGGAAACTCCAGCAAGAATCGTACGTCGAGGGGGCACGCGTTTATTTTGAATAGATCAAGCTTACACAGAGCTATGAACTGAAAACAGAGCACATTAACTACAATATTTTGAAAAAAATTCAAGGATTCTATAGCCACTAAACTAAAAATTCCTCGAAAGATATCCCAACAGTTAGGATTTTGAGTAACTGTAGCCAGAGAGGGTAAGTTGTGGTTGAAATTTTAATTTGAAGGGGCACAGCCTTATCGTGCCTCTCCTGCAGCTACGTAGCTAGTTCACAGTTTTGAATGACTGGGAAAATTGAAACTGGAAATTACAAAAGTTACAAAAGTTTTTGACAAGTTGAGCCTATCGTTTGCTTGCAAAAATTCTGGTATAAACACCTAAAAGTAGTTGGCAACAAGTAGCAACCCAACTAATATAGGTAGAAGTTACAATTTAGAACACAGAAAAAATAACGTACATTATCAAATTGCAAACAACACTCCCCTCCCAAAAGTATTCGAACGGTCGGGCAAAATTTTGGGCCTAATTTTTACAAACGGCATGTTAGCGAAAAAGTAAGATCAAATTTTGGAGGGAAAATAAAACGAGCTAAAATAAATATAAAAAAAGCAAAAATATTGTTTGGATAAAGTTTTTCTGGAAAAATTGTTCTCAAAAGCGCAAAGAATGTTTATCTTTTGGTACTTAGCCTCTTTTGGTAGTAGTAGGCACCGCACCGTCAGTCAATAATGACTATGGTTTACATCACAAAATTTTTGTTTGCATCAATAAAAATGAATGTTCAAAGCTTGCACTGTTTCAAGTGGCTGATAAGTCCGATTCGGGATTATAATATGTGCCCTAAGAAGAAAGCCTGATTTTTCAGCAAATAACTGTACTCGCCGGCAAAACAGAGTGAAAGTCACGAAGAAACGACCAGTCACCGACTGGGGCGAAAATGTCTTCTTGAACGAGTGTACACTTAAGTTAAAAATGACTCTGGAGCCTTCTCAACCCGGAGAAACAACTGGAGAAGGAAGCAATGAAAAGTCCTTTCAACCAAATGTAAGGAAAAGAAGGAATTTCAATAATGGTCTAAAGTGCGTTAGGCCTAATGGCGTCGCCATCTTGTTCTTTCAGGGGTGTTTGGTGAACGCCGCATATTATGTTGCCAACATTCCCGAAAGCGCCAAAAAATTATAGTTAAATAAATCAGCTATTTGTTTTTCATCAAGACAATTCTCCATGTCACACAACTAAGGATGCAAGCGAATTTTCTGCTGCCAACTGCATCCTCCCCCTTCCGGGGCCTTCTCAAAGTCCAGATCCGAAAGGAATTGAAAATGATATGGCTTCTTTGGATTTTTTTTACAAAAGATTCAACGAATCGAGGTCCTCCAAAGACCAAGCAGCAATAATTTGATAAAACTTTTGATATTTATGCCAATATTCCTCTCCATTTTATTGAAAATTTGCAAAAGAGAGGTTATTCCAATAATAAAATGAATTATGGACTTAAATTAAAAAATTCGTGTAATTTAAACTTTGTTTTATGATTGCCTGAAATTTTGAAGTGATTCCTATGGCATTCTTAAAATATAAGCAATGAACTTCTCTTTTTCTTCAACAACTTGACCCGGCACAGTGCAGGCACAGTGGCAACATTGGCTTCCGTTCGAATACTTTTGGGAGGGGAGTATATCTCTTTCAAAATGCAAAACAGTGAACCTATTTCAAATTGAAGACTCACTTCAAGTATCTTCCTTTCTTTGGCCAAATTTTCAAAACTATTTAGCAAGGCTATTCAACCAAGTTTCTCCAGCCAGTTTCTTCCTACAAATAGCATGAAAACTTAATCTATGCGCATCTCAAGCAAAAAATATACTCACAGTATTTGGCCGGATTTGATTTTGCATTTGTTGACACGTTTGAATCCATGGATCTTCAGAGGTGATGTATGCTTATCACTGTTGTATTTTTTACTAAAAATTCTGGCTATGAAAAGGCTCTGCCTTATTTTATGCTTTCTTTATGTCAACTTATTTATGTCTTTATGAATGACGACATCAGAAACTTTCGGGTTTCGCGCTAAGGCGAGCACAGGGGAAAGAAGCAATGAAATCAGGTTGAGGGTTTGGTTACTCATGACGAAGAAGTCGAAGAAAAAGGCGATCAAAACAGGGTCCAGACACATTGACAAACCTGGTTTGATTCTTTCAGTGAATCTGCAACTAAATCTAAGCGACAAAGGTAATTTATAAGGCTGCATTAGGAATGTTTTCCTTTAAAAAATAGAAATGTTATCTCTATCTGTTGTATGAGGTTAGGCCCTTATCAATTTCAAGGGCAACATTTTAAGTGATTGTTGTTCTATACTGCTTAGTAAATAATAAATGGGAAAATAATAAATTGCTTGTTGCTACATTTTTAAATTACAAAATACGAAAAAGATGTAATCCCACCTCTAATGGTATTTAAAAGTTGTAAAGAGTTGGTGTAAATATTGTTTTGTTAAACAGCTAAAACACAGATTATTATAATTATGGTTATCTGTGAGATGGATGATTCTTTGAAGGTTAGCACAGATGACTGCATCAAATTGTGTCTCCATACAGTCAGTAAAAATGATGTTATCTAAAATTTGAAGCTTGCCACACTGAAATGTCTATAATATAATAATTAATATATAATAATTATAGTAAATAAGAAAGTCCACAAAATGTCAATTTAAAAATTTTTGAAACTTACATTAAGAGTAGAGTAGCAGTGAGATATAAAGAAATTGAGCCAATATTCCAAATCTGTACTATGTCTTTGATCATAATACTTTTTTCATAGTCATAGCCTATGCAGATATAATTCTATCTCGATATTTAGAGAATCATATGATGTCAAGGGTGTGCTAAAATGAATGCATTCTGAGAACATCATGGTTACAGCCTCTGGTTGATTTGACATGGAATAACCCATAAAAGAAGTGGCATATTAAAAAATGATCAAAATATTGTCTTGTTTGAAAAACACGTGTGAGGCTATATCATGTACCAATTGATATATTACTGCAAGAAAAGAAAGAAAAATTCTAGGAAATATAAACAGGAAAATTTTCATAATTTTATGAGAAGTTATTGTGTAGTTCTCTATGTCTTTTAATTGCTATTAATTTTTGTAGATAATTCAAAAGGCGATTTAGATAGAAGAAAAAGTTTCTATCAACAGAAGAAAAAAGTGAAGAAGAACAAACACCAGGTTCCACAAGAGGAAGAAACAGAACGGCTTTCCTATCCTTTTGATTTGTGGTTTCATGTTGGCAGATTTATTGCCCCAGATCAAGTGAAAACATTTGCCTTGATTTGCTGTGCCTGCTGGAAAGTTACTCACACCTCCTATTTTTGGCTCTCTCTTTATAAGAGGTTTGTTAGAGATACTGGTGTTCTGCCATTCCGATTACAGTCAGATAACATTGATTCTGGGCCAGGCCTTCAGTCAAAAGTGGTGAGGTCATTATATTTTGTGTATCCACTGTTAAGAGAGGTTTATAGAAGTGATTGTACAGAAGTAACTAACCGAAAGTGCGTGCTATTTTGGTGGAAGAAAGAGTTTTCATCAAAGAAAGGCACTTATATTTGGAATTATTTCTTCAAGCTAGCCAAAGGGAACAGCAAAAGAAGCTTAAAAGAAAATCAATTGTGGTGCAACCCCGAGAAGCAAAATATTGTTGTAAAGATAAGGAGTCCGAATTTCATTCATTTTCAGAAATCGGCCATTGGAATGATTCTGACATCATTTAATTCCTGTATGAGTACTGATATGAGATATCATCAAATAAAGACAATTTTTCATTATGAAGGGACAGCAAGGAGTTACAACAAGAATGATGGAATGCATATGTGCTTCAATCCTGTAATAGACGTCAATATCTTACCATGGTGGAACCCAAGTTATCCGTATCATGAAGAATAGGATTTGAAATTAATTTTTAGAATCAATTTTCAGAACTAGAACTATGTTTTCTAATGTTACATAATGGGAATGGTCTTCACTATGCAAGCTTCTCGTTTCAATATGTGCCAACACATGAAAGATTTGAGAAGAAGTTAATCTTTTTTCTGTGTTTTTTCCATTGGCAAAATTTCATTTCTACTGTTAACATTTCATAATTTTGAATCAAAAGCTGCTGTTATCAGGCAAACTTTGCCTTAAAAAAAGACTGAAGAGCTTTATATACTAGCCTCTCTTGAGTGATGGATGTTCAGGTTTACATGAGTTGAGGCTAAATTGTAAGTCTCTTTTATGCATAGCAGGGAATATTTTCAAAGCAATTTGATTAAAAAAGGAAGGCATAAAAACAGAAAATATATTTTGTTATATGTGGCTCCCCAATAGTTATTAAACTCTACATGTGTGAAGAGTGAACAACAATCATTCTTACCAGATCTTAGGTTTTTGTTTATACTGGTACTTGCTAGTATTGGTACCTACAAGTCTTGGCACCTATGTGGCCACTATTGATGGTGACCAGATACTCCTTTTTTGATTTACTAAAAAGATATGTCACTGAAGTTCTATGTTTGCAGACAGTAAACCAGCAAGTGTATCACTTTTTATAAAAGTCACCCATTTCCCTGGGATTGTGAATCGTATTTGAAGGGGGAGGGGCCAAAATTTTAAAACAGTAGAATGGTCAAGTAAAGCCGCTACCATGGTAAGCAGGAAAATAATATTAGAAACTAGGTATTCTACGGATGGCCAAAAACAGCATCGAAAATAGGTTTTGTGAAAAAAACCTAGGCAATATTTCCAAGCTCACTATGTCCCACAGTTTTATCTTTATGTTGCCATGAAATAGGAGTGGCCTTGCAAAATTTTTCAATATTTTTACGTCAAATAAGAAACTAAAAGGATGCAGAAAAGAAATAATTCAAACAATGTTTCGTAATAAAACATAGACATAAGAATATGAAATGAAAAACTACATCGACTTAAAGTAAAAGATAAAGCAAGTTGAGGTTTCAATATATACGACCTGATTGTAAAATTTTCGGAATAAAGTTATTTTAATGAAAACAATTGTAGGTTTGAAAACTTTCAAAGTGGGTTGGTCAAAACTTCATTTTAAAAAAGCTACAAAACAAACATTCACTCCAATCGAATAACGAGCGAAATTTGGTAAACACTAAACTGACGTAACTATCAACCTCAATTTACTAGTTCCCTTCGGTCCAAAAACTGGCTCCGTTTGATGCAAACGATAAAAGGACAGACCTTCCTTTTAAAAGCGTTGTGACTGAGAACCGATGGGTTGGGGGACGTCATACCCCTTCAAATAAGAGCTTAATGCTAAATTTCAGGTAAAATATGTTCTGTGGAAAAAATGTTTTAGGTAATTCGTAGACCATCTTCAAACCAATAAAGAAATAAAGAGTCATGCAGTGGTAGTTGCTCCTGTAGTTAGAAATGAAAGTCATCCAAGATAAGCAAAACTTAGCGTTGATAATTTCAAGTTTCTTCGCTGTCATTAAATCCAAGCAAACTTCGCTGTCGTCAAATTTCCCTTTTGGGAAGAAGAATCAACTGCCATTCTCACTGAGCTCCAGTCTTTTTTCATGCTAGAATAGAATTCCAAGTTGGATAGAGGAGTTAATTGACAACTAGTGCTGCTGGTTACTAGGCTTTTGATGAAGCGTGACAGCTTTGCATTTTTAATCATTCAATCTGCACAAGATATTTTCGGTAGGATTAGGAGAATGTAGAACTACCTTTCCACCTCCATTTTTTGGTTAATGAAAAAGATCTTGTTTGATAGTATTGACTTTGACAAGGTAACAAACAAGTGGTTCACCATTACATGGCTTCTAACCTTTTCGATTTCATCCAACCTTCTCAATTCTTACACAAACCGAAAGATTTTCACCTACCAGTTGGCAAATTTAGAGCCTGCACCCCCACCCAGCTCCATATCTCTAGCGATGAACCTGGTTGTATGTTTTTCAGATTCTCAGAACCTTATTTGGTGCACAGTCATTCAGAATTACTAGCATTAATTGTTAGGAATGCCATCAATCAAGATCAATTTTATGATACAGCTCAAAAGCGATATGATGTTACCATGTTTCTTTGAGCAACACGATAAGGACTCTATTGTATACATGCACCACGATATGGGCTTTAAATGTAGATCTGCTATTTATGTGTAGTGTTTTATCGTTGACCCGCACGAGGATAAAGTAGCCTCAATAATAGTGCTATTTTATATCAAATTACAACGGGGATTTCCTGATAGAAGAAGATTGCGTAGGGATCTATCATCCGAAATCTGCCCACAGAGATCCAAACGAAAGAGGTGATTATGTGGACAGTGCAAGTTCTTTATCTTCATTGGCAAAAACTACACAGGGCCGTCGTGTGTAGTAACTCCTAGAAGAAAGGGGGGGGGGGGTACAGCTTGAAAATTTCCCGACAATTGAATTAACCTATAATTATGACGACATCAAGTGCATGCACAGTTTATTAAATGAAGAAAGACACGGCAAACAATATTTCTCTTTTGCAGCATCACTTTTATTGATTTCATCAAGTCGATCAGAGAAAAGCCAGAATAGTCATTTGTAATCGGTAGCTGTGATGAACAGTACAACTCGCAATATTCAATAAAAATGTACAGATTTGGATAGCCAGACTATAGATTGAATAACCACGAAGTTTTGCTTTCTTCAGAAAACTTTTTCTCTTTAAATCTTCATTTTTATATTGACTAGTTCCTTTGAACTTTCTTACTTTTCTATAAACTGAAATATTTATTTTGCCGAACAAATAAGAAATTCCTGAAAAATTGCCGATTGGTAGATGATAACGCAACAACGCCTCTGAAACTACATATACAGACAGGAGTAAGGCAGTCAAATGCATGTCTGGAACGATGCTTGTTCAGATCAGGCTGAACCAAGTCAATAACCTTATACCTGGAATATCAGATACACCACATGTAGAATTTTTAACTGGTCGAATAACTGAAAACAATCATCTTCAATCTGTGTGGTCTAAGTACAAATCTGGATCTCACTATCAATTTCACTCAAACAGTGCATTTTGAAAATAAGGGTTTGAAAGGCGAAATATTCTTGCAACTGGTTGTTAGTATGCATTTGGGTTCCGTAAGTTAACTGACGCTTCTGTGGTATTTAATTGAATATATATTCTGGCGATTTCGAATTTCTTAGCGAAAAGAAACGAGTGAAAATTCGGTACCACCTTCTGTGATACAAGGTTTTCCAACTTAGCTCTTCATAAAGCGTCTGTCACTATTACCCTTCCATGCACCAGTCACAGCTAAGGACGCAGAATATTATACCTGCTCCACTTTTTTGTAATTTTGAGATGCATTTCTGGTTCAAATCTATGGTAGATAACATCACCGTACTCTAGGTGTGGCCTAATGCAAAGTTCATAGATTTAATAGAGGAACGTCCTTTGAAACATATTTGGAAAAATATTTTATCAAACCAATACCTCTACATGCCTTCAGAATTGCTTCAGAATTGCTTCAGAATTAGAGACCAAGGATTGAGCCCTGGGGAACGCCAGCTGAACCTGTGGAAAGATTGGAAGATTCTCCATTTAATACGACATATTTTTCTGCGTTCGTGTAAGAAATCCTGAATAATTCGAAAAAGATTGCTAACTATGCATTGCATCCCAGCTTGTACAATCGATCTTTGTGAAATACCCTGCCAAAAGTCTTTGGTATTTAAAAAGGACAGCTCAAGTCTCCCTGTTAGATACGTTTTCAAAGGCAGTATAAATTGTAAGCGTTATTGTAAGAAGTTATGTTCCAGGAAGTTGGATAAACAGAGAAGCTCAAGGATATAGCAGAGAGGCTGTACGATTGCACTATCACAAATCTTTATATCGAGATAGAGATACTATTACAACCGTGTGCCTTTTCTCTTCCCTCTATCTACATCAACATTCGGTAGTAGTGTAGGACGCCTTTTTTAAAGAATCTTTATACATGAATTCCCTATCAGATATAATATAAATAAAATACTTCTACTGCAAAGTAATTTTTTAATATATATATAATAAACAGGGGCGGATCTAGAAAATATTCTGACTGTCGCACACAAGGGTGTGGTCGGAAATATCATTCGTGACCACACCCCTTGGTTTTTAAGGATATTCGCCCCCTTCTCATTTGAGCAGTCGACACGCACATTAAATTGGCTTTTATTCAGAACGTGGCCAAACTGTTGTTTATTCCTTATCTGATTTTTCAATTGATACTACAGAATCATTTGTGTTGTTTCTTAGCCAAGCGTAAAGCAAGAAAGCGTATTGACGGTTTTCCTTTCATAGTCAGGCAAAAATTCGAGTCGTCTTTTTCGATTTGTTTATAGTATACGATGACAAACCAGGCCACGCGAAAAAATAAAAAACATCATTGCAATGAATTTTCAGAACTAACCAAATAGAACAAATTTACGCAAATATTCATAAAACCTGCATTAATAACTAATATTATTTAATAGCTAAACCAAATCAGCGTGTAAACATGTATTTTACTCCGAAGAAACCCCTTCGAATTCAGGGGAATACCCAAACAAGTAAACATTACCCGGAAATATCTGAAAGCTGATAAAGAACTGAAAATCCACATTGAAAAGATTCACTTTGAAAGTTTTGTCTAAGTGAAAATTTTTCTCTGCCAACGTCCTGAACATTATTTCTTCGCCAGAGCCAAATCGCAGGTATCGCCCACTGATTATCACCCCAGTCCAGTGCATTTATTGACATTAGTAGGCCCTCGATCCATGGAGGAGGTAATGAACATTGAAACTTGAAAATATCCCGTGTCGAATGTTACTCTGAAAATCTAGCGACCTTTGTCTTCCAAATTACCAGGTTTAACGTACTCGTTATACATGTAGCCAGCCGACTCCATAACACAAAATTCCTTTTCGCCAGTGAAAAAATTCCCCATGCCAGGCATAAATAAGCTCAAAACTGCACAATACACGCAATGAGGACGGATTAATCTTAGCCCAGTGGTGCGACCTTACTAAAAAACATACTGTGCACCGAAGTTCGCACTATCTAGCAATTTGATTGGCTAAATATTTTGAAACAAAAGCTGTGCGAATCGGTGCGAACGTGCTACTAATCATACTGTGCACCGAAATACCCTAATCTAACTACATTGGTACCCTGTTGTTTTTTAGTCAGGATGCTTTGAGATTTGAATCAGATTGAATCAAGATCGAGATAGAATTAGAGATTGTGTTTAGATTTTGCTTCTGTTTATGGCCAGGTTTAAATCATGCATGATTCAGACCTTGGATCTTCCTGCTCCTGCACGGTGTTCAGTTGTCAAATATAACTGAAGCATAATTCCCGAGTAAATAGAATCAAAACACAAATTTGCCAATAAGCGAAAAAGTTGTTGTTCAGCAAAAACCTCTCTCGAGACAGATTCTTAGTATAATTTTAAAAGTTTGACTGTCGCATGTGCGAACGGTGCGAACGTCTAGATCCGCCCCTGATAATAAATATTTTGCTGTTCTACCTAGGGATCGTGTTTTGTTTTGGGAATTTATTAACTTTGTAGGAATCCCTTCAAGTTTCTTTAAAACATGGAAATTGTGGGGCTCATTCTGACGTTTCTTGGAATCTCATGCCATGTTTTGGCCCCAGAGTAAAAGACTTCTCTTTTGGAATTCCAAATTTTGCCTTGGGATGTCAATATCAAGCTGATTCCTTGTCAAATAGCTGGATATCTCTGACCTAGTGATAAATTCACCTTTAAGGCTGCCAGGGCAAAGACCATTCATCATTTTGTACGTCATTATGGCCCTGTCATATTTAATTAGGTTCGAAAATGAAAGCCATTTACAAATCCACCCGTCCTCAAATTTAGCACTTTCGATTAATGTTTATCTTGAAGACGCTGAAGATGTTCAGGCTATGTAGCGGACAGACTTCCCCATAGTGGACAGACTAGTGCCGTCGGAACGAAATTCACGTTTGGGGGGAAGGCTCCCCCTTGTACTACTTCTCATCCAGTACACTATTCTAAAGGAAATATAGCACAGCATGGCAATAACTGGGGGGTCTTCAGCCCCCCATTCCCCAGCCGACCCCCAGCTCCCGCTCAGCCCCCGCTAAAGAATCATGACAAAGAGATAATGTAAAAAATTCATGTTTCTTGTCGTTTGCTCTCGGCGCGATTTCATAGTTTAAACACAAATCCTTCCTTTATTTCGTGAAACAATAAGCTCGCCACAGACAAAGTAACGATTGTTCATTTAGGATCTGGTTTCTAAATTGTTTGCAGTCTAGGAAAAATTATCACGTTCTTACCAGGACAAAATTTTGATGGCAAAGATTACGTTTTGCTACCTGGATATCTATTTAACTTCGAAAGGTATGTACTTGTTAGAAAGGCCACTGGGTTATAACAAAATATTTAAAGTTAAAAACTTAAAACCAACTCTGCTTTCATCCGCGAAGCAAGACCTGCCGTAACAAAGTTCACTTTTTAAGATTTTGTCTGGATTGGAATAAAAAATGATCCCAACTGAAGAATGGTGTGAATTTGTTCCCGGTTCAGTGCATTATGTTTAAATAGTTGATACAAATAGCTAGCAGACAAAAATGTTTGGTTCTTCCTTGATTTAAAGCCGATTCAAACGTTTTTTGCGAAAGCATATAAGCAGGAGAGAGACAATTCTTTATTGTCACAGTTGAGCTGCAAAAAATCCATCAAGTTGAATGAATGGACGCCGCAGACCAATATGCAACGGGCAATGCTCGGCTGACAAATTACGTAATTGCATTGTTTCTCTCATTTACTCCCTTTTTCCTCTTTTTTAAAACGTTGGTATTGCACAAACGTAGAATTCCTTCGTAGGGTGCTTTCGTAGTGTGCTTTTCTAGGGTGCTTTATTAGAATGCTTCCATAGGATGCAGGGTGCTTTCGACCCCGTGCTACCAAAAGTGAGGCAGGTACCCAGGGTACAAATCAGAGCGAGGGAAATATCACTCAACAAAAAGACCCAATGCTAAAGATACTAAGAGATCCAATGCACCTAGGAACAATTATCAGTTTCTACCGCTCAAACGAAGATATCTGCCTTATTTTTTATTGATATGTGTGTAAATCCCTTGTCTCTTTCCGAAGTCTCTTTAAGACTTCATGAAGTGGAACATAGCACAGGGGCATCGCGGCGAATGAACTCTAAAGGGGGCAAGAAAGACAAATTTTCGGATTAGAATTTCATGTAAATTTAGGAGGGGGACAGTGGCAGATTTAAGGAGGGGGCAACTAGGGGGATCGTTTTCAATTGTTTTACCTTATGCACAAAAAACGCAAATTTTCAGGTCTGAAACAAAATTTTAAAATCTGATAATAGGCACAAAATTGGCACTCACTGTTCCGGCCTTCAATATACAGATATAATTTATGACCAATAATGACCAATCTCCGTGACCAAATTTGGCCATTGAGGATTCGGATTTTAACTGACAAAATCCGAGCAGCAAGTCATTTACCCTGGGTGCCAGAGTTTCCTTTCCTTAGTCTCAGAAATATGGAAACAAGAATCAGATACATTTTTTAAGTAAGGATTTTCGTCTACAATTCTGTATCCCCGGATTTGCGAGGCTCTGGTAACCAGGGTACAAATTACTCTATGGTAGAAATCGGTAAATTCTGAGAGTTTAAAAAGTGTCATTAACGGTTTCAGTTCCTCCGGCTCCATGAAAATTTGAATACGAGTTAAAGCATGACTAGATGTTTTACAGAGCAGATGGATATTAACAATTAACAATTAACAAATTAACAAGCTGGAGCGCTGGGTGGAAATGGTACTAATCCTACTCCTAAGTTAATTTTCCTTTTCCAAAATTTAAAGATTTTTTTTTTTACTCCAGATTGGTTGTATAGCCTTTAGGAGTTAACTATTGAAGATTGAAGATTGAAGATATGTTTATAAAGCTCAATTTCTTATTCAGACTGGTGCCTCATTGCTTCTACTCATCACCGAGGATGTTACGAACAAAGGGTGTGGGGTTTGGGCTGTCACAGCCCCCTCATAGTAGTTTTATAGGAATTTTCAGGGAAAATAAGATAAATGGAAAAAAGATTTTAGGTAGTTCAGAGCCCTTACGTCTTTAAAGATCAATAAAAAATCAGGCAATGATTGTTACTTTGTTGGCTACATATATTATTTAGGGACATATTTATCAGGAGGGGGCTATAGGGGGTGCGACACCCCCAATATTTTGAGTCCTTCGGTAAAATTTGTTTTGATTCGGTTAAAAACATTTTTGGTGGTCAGTAGCGACAAAATAATTCAAAAATTTACTTTTTAATCTTCATAACTCCTTCACCTTGAAGCGAGAAGTTTAATTTCTAAAGTGGGCCTTTCCATCATTTTCCAGTTACTTGAAGGATGTGGTACCAAAAACCAAACAAGCACCCCCCAATTATTGCCTTTTAAATCCGTCCCTGATGATATTCCTGCGAAGTTTTCAAGATTTCTTGCTGGTACTAAATTTAAAGAATCAGGCCTTCTTCATCCAATTTCAAAATTCACTTACAGCTCTCCGGATGATGGTATCAAAAGCTAAAGAGCTGTAAGAAATTTCGTAGTCAGCAACACCCCCCCCCCCTCCTTCCTTCCCTAACAAAGCCTGCTTAGCCACGACTCTGTTAATCACTTTCTATTTTAGCTCCTTCTAGTGGCAGCTTTTTTAATAAATTTGGGGGCACTACTTCTTACTTTTCCGAGTACCAAAAATAACATCAAACAATATTTTCTTTGAATATATGTTTTATCACTGTCTTAAATCATGTACATTTTTCAGCGGTAAGCCTTGAGTAGGGTTTAACAATATGGGAACTGATTTGTGAGGGGCTTATACGAGAGAACCTATCGGTGGCTTCCTCTATTCTCTGCTGTGTCGCACTTACCCTTTACAGAGAAAAAAACAACAGAAATTATGGCATTTCCAAATGAATAAAGCATTCTTGCACAAGGAAATATCAAAAATATAGCTTCAGCAAGACACTTGCAAGGCAAAATATTACAATAACTTTCTTGCGCAATAAAACCTAGCACGTAAAACCAATGTGGGTTTTTTTAATTACTCATCATCTGAACGTTAAAAATTGCTTCTAGTAAATTAATTGAATCTCAAGACAGCAACTTTTTTTAAGGATAGATATCTTTGTAAGAATTTGATTTTAAAACTTGGGTTTACATACCATTTCAAATTGGTATACCCGTTGTAGAAAACCTCAACTATAATGAATTTCTTAGGATGGAGTAGTTCCACTTCTTTTAACCTACTTTCAAACATTTCTATTGTTTATTTTACTGATATCATGGATATCACGTCTCATTCCAACCTTTAGTGAAAGTTATGTAATTGTACTCGTTGCATTCTTAGATCTTTTTATTACAGAGTTTCAAAGTCTAACAAATGTTAAACTTTTTCTTATTTTTCCTTGCAACCTTTATCTTTTTTTGAAACTTTTCATCTCAAAATAAAAGAACGAGAAAAACTGATTTACCTCGTTTACACAGAGAGGATTTTTGTCCTCAAGTTTAATCAAGGACGCTGGAAAAGGGGGTGCGGGGGAGGGCACCCGCCCCTGTTGCCTTTGATAAGAGGGGCATGGGCGGTAATTCTCTTTTCATAGACATGCCCCTGGTCTCGGCCTTTTGTAATTTTTAAAGAGATTCATATGAAATCCTGCTTGTAGTTTCTTTTACATGGCAAAATTTATTAAAACTTGTACTATAATTTCTTATGACAACAATTAACCCATTTACAAGATGCCTGCAGAACATCAAAATAAAATAACAGCTACAGAAGGATTAATAGAAACTTGGCCTTTGTTTAGATTGCCATTTTACTGAAGCCTGCACCTCGCCCTTTGGTCGTCCCAGCTGGGTCTAAAATTTGTGCGAAGTTGTTTTTGGGTCAATTAACTGTATAATATATTTTTGGGGTTTAGTTCTTAATATTTTGAATAGAATTCTGAAAGTTTTGGTTTGGTTTTTTAGATAGAAAAAATTTATAAAAAAGAATGAAAATTGCGAACTTTCTGCGCTTGGCGAGAAGAACTATTTTTGGGTCAATTCTTTTGTTACAAGTTATATTTTGTTTGATGGTTTGTATCCCCAGCTTGATTGCACCTATCGTCAAAATATACGATAACCTCTACTGGACATGTTTAGTTGGAATATCCGATCTTTAACTTTAGCTATTGAGAATCAAGCTATAACTATCTTTGTATAAAAATTAATGAAAATATGACTTTTGGGATCTCATGGCTTCGTTGCAGCCGAATATGGCAAAAAGAATAAAATTGATAGAAAGATTAAGTCGTCTATCTCCAAATGCGCAACGTTAAACATTGTTAAACACTATGGTCATATCATTGTTTCATTATGGAGATACTGTTTGGGGTGATAAAAGTAACTAAGGTTTGATTAAGACTCTGCAAGTACTTTAAAAGAAATGTGCCAAGCATGAATCATATGATTCTAGCACTAAAGCATCGGACTTACGGCACTGGAAAACTTTAAACACCACACGAAAGTTTCATTAATATGTCACTATTTTCAGATCAAAGCAAAATGATTTAAGCTACTCTTTCAGCAATAAAACAGGCAAATATCTACATACAATATCAACAAAAATCTACATAGCAACCAGAAAAGGAATAAATATCAAGATCGTCTACCTAACCAAAATAAATATTGAGGGGTAATTTGTCATCCTATCTGTCCATTGACGAATGGAATAAACTGGACATTGGCATTAAAACGGCTGACAGCTTTCTCTTTGACTAAAGGAGGATGATTTGCTAAATCAACCTCCTTGCTTCTATTTTTTCATTTATTTCACTTTATTTCAACAGGATGAAACACATTGAGTAAAATTAAAGAAACTGATTTAGATTGTGCAGATTAAATCATCTATTACCTGATTTTCGGTTCCAGACCTTTTTAATTGCCAGTTTCCCATTGAACCATGAATATGCACCCTTATTTGTATTTTTCAGCTGACTTTTCTTCACTGACACAACAACCGTATTGGAACTGTAATAGCGGTAAGATGGCACGTCATATTAGCATATTTCTGGTCCTTTGGAGGGTATGCAACACCCTTGTTACAGGCATGTATCAACCTTTGATATCTTTGTTACTGAGATTATCTGTTTTAAATCCTCTGTGAATGTTGCGCATTCATTTCGGTTGGGCAATGGTCGACTGGCACGGTACTGATTGTTGATGAAAGTTTTATGATTTTTTGCGAAAGGTACAGCATTATCTGAATTCTGGACAAAAATATTTGCATACATTTTTCAATATTTTTCAGTTTTATTGAGAAGAAAAGGAAATATTTTTTCGGACTTGTGTAGCCTTTTCTTGTCTTGAGATAATTTTTACGTCCACTTTCCTTAAGACGTTTTTAAGGACTTCAAGAGGGAAAAACCAATTCAGACTAGTAGAACGAGTGTAGTCTTAACCTGAGGAAAAATCAATGAGTTCTAGTCAACGTGTTCATAATTATGAAGCAATGCAGAATCGTTTTTCTGTTGATATAGAATATCTAAGCATTGGCAGGTTTGATATTTATTGATTGATCTCTTCTTGTCAAGAAAAGTGAGAGTGCCGTTTTGTAATAAGGAGAAACTGGCAAAATGCTGTTTGGGTTTTATAGTGTCAGATAATCAAATATCTTCAGAAGTAGATTTAACCCTCCCCCCTCCCTTACAGTCTATCAGCAATATACATTTGATCTCCCCCCTTACAGTTTATCATTAATATTCGTGAAAAATTAATGAGATATAATTCCTATGTATCAAACAGGGTAAGTAGTTGATAGAGTTTTGACTGATGTTGATTTCAATTTCCGATTCGCGATCCAAGGTTTTAATTTTTCTTTATGCAGCTTTGTTGATATCGGTTTTAAGGTAACATTTTTATATACTGTGTAGACAATACGTTCACGAAAAGCATTAACGCAAATTGAGGAATGATAACCTCTTCTATATTCAAATATATAATAAGAATGCGCCAAACCCCAAAACTAGGTAAATATTTCATTCTGGTAATTAATCCGCAACTCATCTCCCCAAAAGTATCGGTTGCACAAAAAGCCAAATTTCAATACTAGCCCTTTGGAAGGTCAAATCTTAAGGACGTTTTTGGAAGGCAGCTACACATGACCCTTTGAGACTTTACCTCTCGGCACAGCTGAAAAACCTCAACCCTACTGACCACACTGACCTTTTTGGAAGCAAGTGAATCAAACTTCTGTCTCTTGCCAAGAACTTTCGAACCACATTTTTATCATCATATGTATTAAGTTGAGACCGAAAAAATGTGATTCTAGCCAAAAATAGCAGATATAAATGCGGGGAAAACAGGAAAATGCGCCAATAATGTTTTCATTGATATATTGTAATTTGATAAAGACCAAAAAAGTCAGTGTTACTTTGCAAATATTCATTATCTGAATGGCTTTTTATGTGTCCAAGATGCAACTGTCCAAGAAATGATTAAAAGAGATGATTTCACGATACTAACAATTAGCTTCTAATAGGAAATATAACTGAGATTAGCGACTTTTCTTTTGATTTCCAAAACAGAAAAGGAAGTTGAAATGCAATATATATTGCAATGAGGTTGAAAAAAGTAACAAGACGTAGTTTAACCTAAACTAGGCTCTAATCAACGCATAACCACTAGTAACTCAAAAACAATTACGCTTCAATGCGCTAATAAGTTTGAACTAAATAGCAATGTGTTCTTTGTTGAATGTCAACACAATCTGTTCAATTATTTCTAAGGAAGGTGTCAACCAAACACAATGCGCCAAGCAGAATATGAATAGGCTAGTTTCACCACATTCTCCCCCAGTAGGAAAAGTTACTCATGGACTTGAGAATCCATATCTCTCAGGTTTCTTTCTAAAACGAGTTGACCGACGAAGTTGCTCAACTGGTTCCACCATTTCACACCTAACATTCTCTGTTATTGGAACTTCGACGGTATCTAATTGGCCAGGAGGGATGGCATTAGCCCCGTTAAGCTGGTCTGAATTGGTTCCATCTTGTGCATTATCTGTGTTCCTTGGGCGAGGTGCAAGATCAGTAAGAGATACTGACGTTTCACGGGCATCTTTAAAGCGAATACAAGCATACATTGGATCCAGATGAGTCAGCTCAACTTCCTCCACCAAATCATCGTTTTTTTGAACGTACAAACTTTCTCAGGAAAATTGGCCCTGGAGATAGACATGAAGGTAAAGATATTCCTTGACTAGATTTCCTTGGGAAGCTGAACAATCTGTCATGTGGGGTGGCATTTGTGGCGGTTGAAAGAAAGGATCGGATTGAATGAAGTGCGTCTGGCAAAACGCTCTCCCTTTGCCGATCTGGTAGCTTAGCAGAGGCCAAAGCGAGCCTCACAGTTTTCCACACAATACCATTGTATCGCTCTACTTGCGAGTTGCCAGTGGGATGATAAGGAGTGTTGTTGCTGCTGGCAATTCTTCTGCTTCTGAGATAGTTGATGAGTTCTGCGTAGAAAATGGCAGGTTCTTGGCTTTCACAAAATGAAGAAAACGAGTGATACCCGGATGACATAGCCGAGGATAGATTTCATCTAGACTTATCGAAGGTGCAGCACAGTGAGGGCGAGTAAAGGAATCTGGGCGACATTGTTCTTTCCTTCCCGGTATTGAATCGTATAACTGAATTCCGCAAGTTCCATGCGCCAGGATTGTATTTTGCTATTCTCAATGCTTGGTCGTTTCCTATTGTCAAACATGAAGGATACTGACCGTTGATCTGTTATTAAGATGAATGGCTGGCGAGATAGGAAATGGCTCTATTTCCTAACTGCTTCAAGGATGGATAGAGCTTTGTTCTCTACTGCAGAGTAACGACGCTCAGCACTGGATAATGTATTTGACATGAATACGGCAGGTCTCCCATTCTGGTTCAAAGATACAGAAATTGCAACACCAGATGCATCACATTTAACAACAAAAGGTATATCCTCATCAATCGGAGACAAAGCAACATGAGAAAGTTCGTCCTTCAAGGCATTGAACGATGCAAGAGCGTTTACCGTGTCTGCTAATGGACGAATTTTGTCTCAAAACTGTGGAATCCACTTAGAGTATTATGCGAACATCCCTAGAGCTCTTCGTAAAGATGAGACATTTGAAGGTGGTGGGTATTTCTGCACAGGTCGTAACCGTTCAGGATCTGGTTTAACGCTATCATGACTAATTCAGTGACCAAGTATATCAATAATAGGAACCGAAAAAACGGTTTTCGATTCATTGAGGGTAATATTCCTTTGTTTGATCATTTGAAGGAAGGCAGCTACATTTCTGTCGTGGTCGGCTTGATCGACTCCAGCTACAGTAACATTATCCAGGTAGGGAAATGTATCCTTTAAACCTTCTTGTGTAACTAAATTGTCTATGATTCTTTGAAAAGATGGGACTCCATTTGTCACTCCGAACGGTAAGACAACGAATTCGTACAGTTCTTTAAGTGCTTGGAACGCGGTAAACTTTGTCTCAGACTCTCTAAGAGGTATCTGGTGATATTCACTCTTGAGATCAAAGGTGGGAAATTCTTTGTACTGCGAAAGGTATATGTTAGAGGTTTCTGTGCTGTTTCTGAAAATCATATCCTAATATGACATCACTGCCAAGGCTCTGTAGAATATCTAGCCTGACATTTTTATATGTATTTTCATTCAGCACTACTTTAACATTACACTGGCCGATTATATGAGACTTCATTGATGTCATTGCCATCGCTACTTTCTTATCTGATGGTGTTGCTGGTATTTGAAAACTTTTTGAATGCCTTCTCGCTGATGAAGTTTTCAGAGCTGCATGAATCAATTAAAGCTGTTAGGTTAAAAATATTATTGACTTTAACTGGAACTGAAGCATGTCTAAGACTTGAAGGGCAGGCGGCTGAAATCGTGCAGAGTGAAGGCTTATATATGGCATTAACAGTAGCACTCTTCTTTGAGGATTGACAAACTTTAGCAAAATGTCCTTTTTTGAGCAGTTATGACAAACAGCTTCACGGGCGGGACATGAACCTCGGTTAGCATGAAGGAAACCTCCGCAAAAGTAGCAGGATTTTTTTGGAGGAGTTTGCTTTTTGATTGCAGCCAACAATTCTCGATTTGGATCAATAGGTAGACTAGCATGATCATTAGAAGAAACAGCAGCAACATTAGTGGGTATTAGTTGATGGCTTTGCTGCATGTGTAGTTCAGAGTTCTTCTGGGCAGTATGCAGTGTGCGAGCTATTTCATAAGCCCTGTCCAGTAATAACTCAAAATTTTCCAGAAGTCTTTGACTAATATAATAAGATGTAAGCCCATTAATGAAAGAATCCCTTATCATCTCAAATCGGTAAGTTTCAACGTTTCAACTGAGACTGCAGTGAGTTCACAATGTTTACTTAATTTCTTCAGCTCTTCGAAAACTTCATCAAGAGATTCAGCAGGCTTATGTTTACGAGTAGCAAGTTCATGAAGAGCAAAAATATTGCTTGGGATTTTCACGTATAAACTTTCAAGAGTAGTAACAACCGCATCATAGGTTGTGCACTCCTTGACGCAATCAAAGACATCTGCAGAAATGAATTTGATAATAGTGCGAAATCTATCAGGAGCTGTCTCTCCACATTCAGTGATAAAGTTATCGAATGTTCGTTTCCAATGTTTCCATTGTTTTGCAGCATTAGGAGCGTTCGGGTCGACATCTAGTCTTGATGGCTGCAGCGCCTTGCTTATTTTTAATATATGCGTTGATTAGACTGTCATGAGGTTGAGAAAAAGTAATAAGACGTAGTTTAAACCTAAACTAGGCTCTAATCAACACATAAACACTAGTAACTCAAAAACAACTACGCTTTCAGTGGCGAATCCAAAGGTCCTGCTTGTCCTGTTGGGCAGGGCCACAAATTTCCAAAGATAACAATTTTTAAATAAGAAAAATTGATTATATGCCTGATTCAAAGGCATTTCTTGTCTTATTCTACACTTATACTTCGTGCCTGTGCCCTTTTTTGTAATTTTGAGACACTAGGCGACTGGAATGAAATTTCGTGTATCCCGTTGGTAAGTTTATTTTTATTTCGAGAAATTCTAGCCCTGTGGCCAGTCCTACCCTACAATCGTAGGCAGGACAAAACCCTATGTTTGGTCCTTCGGGCAGGAAAGGCCTGCACTGTCGTCACTTGATTTATACAAGAATCGATCGTTTCAAGACGAGTGGTACTTATGGAAATCAAATTGTTTAGAGTCGTTCTGTTGGTCCTATTTACTGTTCAAGTTAGGAATATCACAGACATGGCGAGAAACCTTACATTCATATAGTTTTCATGTAGCAGGAAAGTCGAGATGGAGGGGAGTTGGGGTGTACATGACAGAAAAACGGGCTTGCTTGAATTTAATTTCAGTTCGTCATCCTGCTTTAACAGGAACTACCATAAAATTCATAGGTCCCGATGAAAAGGATGCCTGCTTAAACAATGGTAATTATTGGGACCTTTGTACTCGGTGACTCAGATTATATTGTACAGGCAAAATGTCAGGGGTCTCGGCTGATGTTCAAACAAATAAATTCAAGACCCTATCTACCATGCATTAGACCTATCCACGTTGCGACAAAATATTTTACTTTTTAAATAATTTGCATCAATTATGTTTCCCGTATGTATTACAACGTACAAGCAATTTCTTTTTAGTTAATGATTTCAAAAATTTTCAAATATTATTTATTTTAGAAAGACTCTTTGTGATGCTCTTTTGACTTCTTTAATGAAAGGCTGGAGGAACTTGAAAGAACCCGAACCCTCGTCCGCTTTTTACCAAAATGCGGCAGTGAAAAAGGTTTCACTGCAATCTTGATTTCAGCATACCCAGAAAGGCTTTTCTCCTTTTCCGAGGTCTTTAGGGCGTGGCTTCACGCAGTTTTTCACCCAGACCCCCTTTCGGTGGGGCCGCCTTATCTTGACTTACTTCGTCACTGTACGCTTCAATGCGCTAATAAGTTTGAATTAAATAGCAATGTGTTCTTTGTTGAATGTCAACACAATCTGTTCAATTATTTCTAAGGAAGGTGTCAACTAAACACAATGCGTCAAGCAGAATATCAATAGGCTAGTTTCGCCACATATATTGATCACAATAATCTTGGACCAATCAGGTGATTGAAAACATATGACTTACTTTGAGACAAGGTAGGGGAAAAGGTTTCCGTCGGAAAAAGCTCAATCACATAACGTATTAATACGCTTCTTGTATTTTAAAGAATTGTTTTGTAATTTTGCTTACTAATCAAAAATATATTTTTGTTGTAAAATTGATGCCGAAAAAACATAATTTGGGTGAAAATTTTTCAGGTTTCCAGATGACAAGCAAGAAAGAAATGACGGTTGCCCAAATTTCACCTGCAAAAACTTTAAATGGCACTCGCAAAGTAAAGAAAGATTTTCTACTTGAGAAGGAAAAACACAAATCGTTGATCATATTACTTTCTGTCATTGGGCTTATAACATTGTTGCTTATGACTGCGTGCGCACTTGTCAAGTATCTTATCAAGAGAAGAAGTAAAGGAAAACCAAGAGAACTAAAGTATTTAGAGAAAGAAATATTTTGTCCATCCCAGGATAACGAACTTTTTGAGCTCGAAGATGTGGAGCCTAAAGCTTTAATATGAACTGTTTATGATTATTACAAAACAAAGCCTCCATCCATATTATCTTATTCACTTTTTTGTTTAAAAAGTATTAAGTATCTGTGCTAAATTCATTTTGTTTTCATAATACTTTTAAATGACTGTAATTTGCTTGCATGGACTTTATAAGTATATTCTATAGAAACGAAATAATTTTGGCAAGTTGTTTTGTCAAATGTTAGTCGTTTGATTGTCAACTGAGAAATTAATTTGATCTAACTTAACTTGATTCAAAAATTTTCTATTTCACAATTACCTAAAATATCTAGAATCTAAGTGCAAAAATATAACTCTTGTTTGCTATTTTCAAGCAAAGAGGACTGAATTTTTCAGCAAATTTACAATTTTGTTTTGATACAAACGAAGCATTGAACGTAGCACATATATTTACAATCTTTAAAGAATTTTATATTTGATGCAAATGTTATCAAGATGTCTTGCAAATGCTTTTGTAAAAGATTAGATTATAAAGTAGGACTCGAAAATTTCAAAAACCTTTCTCTGTCTCATCATTGCTTTATAGCTCCTCAACTCAATTGCCATGAGACAACTGGTCATCGGCATCAAGGTTCTCATCCTGTTCTATCTCTGTATTCACGTCATTGACTTCTTCATTTTTGATTTCACCTAAATCTTTAAAATAGACGCATTATCATATGCAAAGGCATTTAACTATCTTTTTTCCTTAAAGCTTTTACTAAAGGCAAGAATAAAGGCATCACGTAAAACGGCCGAAAATAATCTCAAAACAACTATTTTTTCATTACTTGTAATTCTTTTTTACATACATTCATTTTTCATACAAGTCTCATTTCTAATGAGACTTGTAATCCTTTTTTTCATAGGATCGAAATCAATTAAGCAACAATAAAGCTAACTGACTACCTGCCATCCATTTTGAGAAAGGAGGTTTGTTCAGGAAGTTTTAACTATGCATGAAACTTACAATGCATTATAAACTTTTCTAATAATTGACACAAAAAGATACAAACCATGCAGCGCATTTTGCCCAAAACAACGCAAAGTCAACATTTTCAAAGCCTTAGTGCATAGGGCACTCAGTATCTGCACGAGATCTAAATTTCTCGTTGAACAGGAAAAACATAAAACGACATTTCTGGACAACAGCTATCAAGAAAATGTCATTTTGCCTTATACTTAGCAGAAGATCGCAAGCTTTTCACCTGTTAAAAAGTTTGGTCCGCAAAAGAGCCCAGTTTATCTTAAAGTACCATGGGCTGAGGCAGCCTTTCCACTAGCCTGGGTTAAAACATATCCAGGTTAAAAGTTATCCGTTTTTAAAGTGAGTCAATGGAAACGGCATTTTGAACCCGTTTTTGATCGTTCACACTAAGCCGGGTTAAAATATATCCGGGGTGAAAATTTGTAAGAGAAATCAGTATTTGCATCAATAATCCTTCAATTTCTATCGTTGTTGGCCAATGGAAGCAACATTGACATCCAGGATTTTGTTTTTTGATTTTTGGCGCCATCTCATTTTTTAAACGTTGCTGTTGTTGCAAGTGGGTCAGAAGTTCTCCGGGTTCGGCGTTTTCATTAACTCGCAGGTGAGTCAAAAGATACCCGGGTAAAAACTGACCTACTTTGAGACCCGTTTTCAAACTTATCCGTTTTTCAAGTGGGTTAGTGGGAACGCGACGCAGAAACGAATAACTTTTAACCCGGATATGTTTTAACCCAGGTTAGTGGAAAGGCTGCCTGAGTACTCTTCCTTGCGATTCGAGAGACAAACAATCACAAATTTTTTAGCTGTTAAACCCCGTATTGTTTACAGCACTAGGAGAGCCCTTCCATCCATTCAGAAGGATTGCATTCCTACCACCCAGAAGAGTTCCATTGTTTATGAATTTTCGTGCCACTGTGATTCCGGCTATGTAGTACGCACTACCCAAAGATTGTGGGATAGGATAAAAGAACATGTTCCTTCAAAAATAAAAATACAAAACTGCCCCTATAAAGGGAACAGCTTCCTAGATCTGTAGGTCTAGAAACACCGTTAAAACAAGTGATTCTGCCATCGGTCAACATCTTTTAGATAACCCAGATTTTGTAATCGTCTTTTCATCTAGAAGTTTAGAATCGATATACATACAAACGAAAAAGCCGCTATTGTGTAGAAAGAAGGAGCTCGTTTTCTTTCTTGGACCCCAGTGGCAAAATGTGACCCCCCCTCTCAATCTTAAAAATAGCCGATTTCGCAGGGCAATCGAAGATTTCGCAGGGCGCCAAGAAAATCTTTATTGGCACGCAGAAACGCCACCTCTTAAGTTCGAAAAGGGCCGTTCACGAATTTTGAAATGGAAATATTATATTTGTTATGAACCTCCCTTCCTGACATTGCATTTTAGAGAACGGAACAGTTATGTCAGGAAGAGCTCCGTTATTAGCAGAGCGAAAGCATTCCTTACCGAAAGTCATAGCCAATGGATGCATTGATTGATGCATAAGTTTATGAGGGCAAGATTGAGTCCACACAAATTAATTTAAGTTTTAAATTATTTTCATGACAGGTATGGCGCTTTGGTCAAGAGAAGAATGTTTTATCATTTCTTCTATAGCTTTTTAACAGTGTATGAAATAAAAGGAGAATAAACGTTTAAGATGCCGATTTTGTTTGATCTAATTGCTAACTTATTCACGTATATTTCTATTACTTTTATTTGCATTAATTCTGTAAATCACTTTTTGTATCATTGCAATATTGTCATTTTGGAAGTGTAAACATGGCCTTCTCGGGACAGGAAACTGCACATTTCTGTTCAGGAAATAAAATTCTCCCAATCAAAACAACATTGCTCTGTCATTCACAACTATGTGCAATCTGAAACGAAAGGTTACCGTTTCTTTCCTTCCACAACGTCTATCACCAGAGTTTTAGCATACCATCCCCCTCCCTATTTTTTCAACAAACAATAATCAGTTTTTTAGCAGTATAGTATTTTACTAAATTTTAATCTGAAAGATGCTTTTTACCCCTATTACCAGGTATAATGTCAAAAATTTTCTTCACGTCGGACCCAACCATGGTGGTTCCTCCTATATCACTAAACTTGATACGCCATTAAATACAAGCTTTATCACAAAGGAAAATCAAATTCGACATTTAATTTAAGCTCGCGTAAAAAAATGGATATTTCATAGGCAATGAAGTTTCAAGTTTGTTTTTATTGCTTAGAAGTTTGTCCTTGGTAAAGACTAATTTACACTGGTAAAGCTTTCACTAGTAACCTATAGACAAACCTTTGCTACGAGGTCTGCAGGGCAACACTCATTTTCGCAGGGCAGAAATCTTTTTCACCCCCCTCCCCCCAAACAAAACCTATTGGCCAAGTTACGCCCCTGAAAGCTTGCAATTCAGAATTTGCAAACGGTACTGACAAATATTTGAAAGCTTTAGAAGATACGAGCTTCTGCATAATCAGTAAATGAAAGGAGAAGTTGATTTTTTCAGTCGTATAAAAAAGAACAATTTGCAAACGGTACTGACAAATATTTGAAAGCTTTAGAAGATATTAATTCATTCAAGTTGCTATTTATCAATGAATTCATCATTAAAAAGCAGATCATCACAATTTATAAATAAATAGAGCAGCATAAACAAACAAGACATGTTCAAAAAATTCATTTTTTCTCAATCAACATCAAAATACACAGACCAGATGACTTGAATCACAGATGGAGTAGCGAATAACCATGATCTTTTGAGTGTTTTTTACAAAAACAGTTTTTTGAGCTAAAACTAAAGGAAGAAAGTGCCTCTCTTCATTTTCATTATGAAAATATGTTTATAACTACAAACCCCTGCTTATTCAAGGTGAACTGACTACTGACTCGTGGTAAGGGCTAAATTCATGAAAATATGTACACAGCCAAGGAAACTTCAAATAACAAAATTATATGGAAAGCAAGGACTCAAAACAAATCAGAAGACCCTTGGCAAAGCCTTAGAAAAATATCACCAGCAATATATAAAAAAAAGCTACAACGTGACACTCAATCAAATTTATTTTTTTCCCTTCCATTTGTTTCAGGAGAGTAAACCTCTAACAGAGCTGGTTTTCAAGGGGTCCTTCACTATTGCAACTTTTAAAATCAAGTAGGTGCTATGACAATTCTAGTAAAAAAACTAAAAATTCCTTATGCAATCATTACGAATTAATATTTATGTACTTTTTGAGAGAATTACTCAAAGTATTTTATATTGAGCAGAGCAACATTTCTCGATTTCTCAATTAAAGGAAGGCCATTTTTGTGCAAATCATTGACAAAATTAATTGTTTTCAGCGTGCGTCTCAGCGTAAAAACTGCATTATTTCCACACTGATCACCTGCAATTAAAAGCATCCAAATGATATTCAAATGATTGCACATTTTACCTCATCAGAAGACATCTCGCTCATTTGAATGTCATACTTGTGTTAAGTAGTGGAAAACTTGCCTGGACTTGAACTACAAAAAGATCCTTTTGATTCCGTACCTAAAATAGCTGTAAACGTAACTCTATGCTTCCTCCACAGCAGAAGGGTAATTTTCTTATAAAATACAATTGCTTTATACGAAAGTAAAGAAGAGGGGACATTTTGAAGTAAAGATTTGAAGATGATTTATGGCCATTTAAAGGGTTTACAGATATCAGAAGTAGCAGAAGGACATATGAAATCCACATTTTGCTTGGAGACCCAACATTCAATGATTTGAGACCTGGAAGCTGTAGAAAAAGGCCACCTGTCTATAGCAGATAAAAATTGTTTGGATGGGGAACACATAAAGAAGGGATGGAACAAGTCAAACCTTATCTCGTCAGACAACAAATGAAAAATGTAAGAAATTATACAGTTTAGATTTGCTAGGCATAGACGACAGAAAGGAGCAGGACCGTCGAGAGGAGGGGGGGGACCAGGGCAGTTACCAGGGGGCCCAGGGCCTTGAGGGGCTCAGGGCCTTGAGGGGCCCGTAGAAAGTAAGGTTTGTATTTTTGGCTATGAGTTTTCAATTAGCAGCATTGGCAGAGCGGGCCCATGACCCGATTGATATTCGAAATTTAATCTTTCAACATGGAATCAACAAGCTGGTCTATGATGAGGGCCTTTTCTTGTTAAGGTTTATAATTAAAACATTGACGATACGATCATAATATACTTCTCCGGAAGCCGAAAAATTCGATTGCACTGACATATATCTACTTTTAGGTCAAATGTTTTAATTATTCCTTGTGTGGACTTCCTTTAAACGTAAAAGTAAATCTTCCATTCACGTCGTACACCAGAGAAAAGGCACATGCGAAGAACCAAGACAAATCCAAACGCTATAAAAGTCTTTATCAAAATCACTAAGCGGGATCACGATCCAACCAACCCCTGCGATGTCATCTTGCAGGCACAAGTCTGGTGCTCAGAAAAGGCAGGAAAAAAAGATACGAGAAAAAGAAGCAAAGAAGGCCTCTCGCACATTGTTTGAGGTAGGTGCTTTACAAAAGAGACAAGGAAGGTGATTCAACTTTAAATATACCTGGCGAAAGCTCTGTTCAAAGCATTACTGAAGAAGAAGAAGACACAAACGGCTTGGCTGCTTCGGTAGACCATGACACCACAGAAAGTAGAGAAAGCACTACCGATTTGTCATTAAATCAAGATACTGTTCATAGTGGATCATCTAGTTTTGATGTCGGCATATTGACCGGATTTCCAACGATAAAGGAGTTTGAAAAGGTTGTTAGAACTGGTCATTTGCCTCATCCTCAAGAGTTTCCCAAAGATTGCGACGGCCACAAATTTCCAACAACGGTCCTAAATGTGAAGCAGCAAAATGGGGAGGTAGTAAGAAGCTGGCTTGTTTTCAGTCCTACAAAGGCTGCACTCCATTGTTTGCCATGCAGGTTATGTTAGAATATACAAAAAATAGAGCTATTGTTTAGTTACGAACAATGACGTTTACTTCCGCTTTTATTGCACGCTGTCATGCTGTGAGCTGTAAGATGATACTTCGTCTAATTTTTTCGTTCGAGTTGTAATCGCCGTTATGTTATGGATGAATTTATCTTCAATCGCTTGTTTCTGTGCGTAAAACTCCTGATTTTAACAGGTTATTCGGGCACACTATTAATAATGGTTCAAAATCAAAATTGGCTTCTCCTGAATGTTGGGGAGAGAACGACAGCTGGAAAAGATTGTGGGAAAAGATTAAGGATTTCGCCTTGAGGAGAGCAAGAAAAGCAGTTTTTTAAACATTAAATTAACTGTGATTTTTAAACTGATTTGTTTTAATGATTTGTTTTATATAGTCACTAATTACATGTTCTGTTAAAGACCTTAAAATACAAAATGAAGTGTTTCAGGGGCGTTGATTTCAAAATTCATGCCTTTTACAGTCCATCTAACTGCATTGCTAAGGGCGTAATCCAATAATGGTTTTTGCAGCCTTCGACGGTGGGGCCCCATGACAGTCCCAGTCCTGGGGCCCGGCCCGTCTCTCGACGGCCCTGGAAAGGAGTATCAAAAGAAAGAATAACAAAGGAGTTTATTGAAAATTTGAAACACACCGAAGATAGAAGATTTTCAGTCAAGGAACCTTGAATAGATGGAAGGATACCACAAACCTCAAATGAAAAGAAGGAGAAAATTACGAAATATATTGTCAAAGATAAAGGAAGGAAATAGAGAAAGGCATCAGGAAATATTCAAAGAAAAGTTGTTTACATACCACATAAGCCAGAAATCATAGAGGAAGCCATAAGTACCAAATTAAGAATGGTCTTTGATACCAGTGCAAAGTCATAAGTTGATGTCTATTCTATCAATGAATTTATGAATCCTGGCCTCCATCCCTAAATAAAAGATGGAATGGGATTTTCTGATACGATCAAAAATGACAGCAATTTTTATTGTGGCCGGATTTGTGGGAGATGCAGAAAAGGCATTCCTGAAAATAGAGTTAAATAAATCTGACAGACAGGGTTCTAGATTTCTGTTCAAGATAAAATAAGGAACTGAGAAGCATTTCATATTTTTAAGAGCTCGATTCGGCGGAGAGGGCTTTTCTTCAATTTTGGGGGTATAAGTCAATATCATCTAAAAACAGTAAAAAAAGATGATGATATCAAAGAAACACGCAAAAGGACTAGGTATGTAGACAATGTAATGAGTTGAACCGATGCCAAATGCAAGGCCGTTTAAATGTATTTGAAAGTGGAGAAGGTCTTGAAAGGGCATAGGAAAGACCGCCACCATGGATGACGCGAAGAAAAATTCTAGAATTTTGGTGTCTTATACATGTTTATCATATGGTGATAAACAGAAACTGTGTCTAAAATGTATTTTGACTGATGGAATATCCAAGGCAATTTACCTGATCATTGCTTTATCAACATGCCACATTATGTCATCTATTGTAATGTCTTGCTAAGTTTTGGAATGACCTTTGTAATATAGCTCGTGATACTTTTTTTTAGATCTTAAAAGGACCTAATATAAAATTAAAGAGAAAGATAAATGAAACAAGGTTTGATAAAAAATATTAATATTGATATTTCAATAGAAGAAATATCAACTAAAAATAAAAAATTCAAGCTATTTTGTACAGTTAGGATATTATTTTGTAACATATGATCTCAAATTTTTGGAAATAATGTGCTTTTTACAAAAAGACCCTAGATTTGAAAAACTTTCAAAATGGACTGATCAAAACGAGTCTTAATAGAATTTATTATTGAGCCTAGATTTTCTCTTTCTTAATGGTGATGGAATATCGTTACAATCAAACTTCGCAGTCTTCTTAATGATACTTTTGAAGAACAAATCCGCCGATTCTTGCTTTCTCATATCCTCAAAAGTGTTTTTTCCAGATGTCTCTTTTCCTTCAACAGCTGATTTCTCTCCTTTTGTAATGTTTCTCAAAAAGTTTTTGTAAACAATTAGACCTCCTGTGCCAATCTCAGCCCATTGAAAAAATGAAACTCTGTCAATTTGTACTAGCACCAAATTATTCTGGATCAGGTTTCTGGATCTATTTCCTGAGCCAAGCTGAAACTCGCTGTAAACATGCAAAATGACAGATTTCCTTGATTAAATCTCCATATTCAACTTTATATGTGTCTTCTATGGTTAAGACATAGCAACCAAGCTAAAGCTAAAGACATATTTAAGGGGTTACTAAGCAGTGTTACTTTCAGAATGATAAAGTACATTTCTTTTCTCTTTGCCTCAAAAATTGTTTAGCTGTTAAGAAAATTGATGGACCATGGCTCTCCAGTTTCGCTGGCTCTAAAAAATGATAAGGAAATATTTGAAAAAAAGGCCACCGAAACAAATGAGCAAAGAAAAATACACATTAGAGAAAATGAGCAAATTTTTGGCATTGGATGGTACAAGAATGAAGATATATGCTTTACAGATTGAACAGAAACGACGTTTGTCTGTCACAAAGAGAAAACTGCTGAAAACATTGTCTTCAATTTAAAGGCTTTGTCTTCAATCTAGGGATTTTGTTTGAAACAATGTTTAGGGAAAGCATTTGTTCAGATTAGCAGTAGACGAGAAATATTATTAAGGTTAGTCAAGAGTTCTGAGAGAAAAGAACAACATTGTTAAATGATCTGCAGAATTCTGAGGTGCCAGAAGCAATTGTACCATACCTGAAAGACGTTACAATGATTGTGCTACATCACTTGACGGATACAAATAAAGTATCTGCTTAAACAGTTGCAAATGTAGGCTAGTGCAAACAAGCGGGAGATATCAAAGGTTTATTATTTTCAGAGAAAAGAATTTCAAATAGGGTGTTTATCTTTGCTAGACAAGAGTTGCTAGCATGTCATATGGGGATCAAAATTACAGAGAGAACAAACCGAGCATCGAAAAGATGGCCAAACCGAGAGAACTATTGTTGGACAGAGAGCCAAACGAACAAAATCGATATAATCAGAACAACAAGAGAGCAAAATGAATGAAAGAAAAAACAGGAGAATTAAATTTATGCTTTCAAAGAAATTTGAACCATGCCTTTTACGGTACTAGGGGCACCACTGTTAAACAAATACAGAAAACAAGATTGGTGGAAAGGACCTGATTAGCTTGTAGATAAATGGAATGGGCCCGAGGAAAGGATTACGTTAAAAGATTGCAATCTAGAGATGATGAAAATTAAGCAAAACAGAGAATGTTCTGGTAACAATGGAGTAAAATGGAATTTTTAATGCTGCCTTCAAAAAAGGGTCTCTCAAGAAAGCTTAAAAGGTAATATTCAGGTGCAAAATCTCAGAAAATCCAACATCAGATATTTTCAGGGCCTTTGAAAACGTTGAATGTGTTAAACTATATTCATTTGCAAGATGGAAGCGATTTAGATTGATATCAGAACGCATGAAATAAACGCCATTTTAAAACAACGAGAATCATAAGTCAACATAATTAGCATAACAATGCAACACAAGGAAACAATGAGATCACAATCTAACAGAAAGTAGTCAAAGCAGCCAAGTGCTTGACAAGGTGATCTTAAGAATATGTTGATTTCCATTCAAAAGAATCACAGCAACTAGCGTTAATGAAATTTATAGACCGAATTATAAGATGTGTAGGTAGAATTCCAGATGAACAGCAGAGCCAGTTAATATACCTCAGAGATAGGAGTATGCAAACAAAGGTATGTGAAGAAGCAAATAAAGATATAAGCCATGAAGGAGCAACCATTGCTATGGCGAGAGTCAAAGAAAAGCTTTAGGTTTCAAGATTGAGAACAAGTCTAAAGAAAGTAAGAGGGAATAGTGAAAATGTAAAATTACACACGCTAATCAAAATCCTGCTCCGGACCTAGCTATTTTACTAGAGAAAAGAATAGCAGATATTTTTTCATTTACAGTTACAAGAATTGATTTCGGTGGAAAATTCAAAGTTAAAGAAGGAATCTGGCTTGCCTAAGCTTATGTTACAGTTTTCTTTTGTGCTCCATCAAGAGCCGTTTATTTCAAGGTATCCAAATAAGCGGAAGCAAAAGGGTCAAAATAAATGAAATTTTGCAGTTCAATCTAGGCTACAAGAGATTTTAAGTGACAATGTAGATACTTTTAAAGTTGTAGCAAATTTCATGAAAATCCTTCGAAAGAATGAAGAGTTACACGAGTACCTGGCAGACTTTATCTCAGCAAAAATCCCCTGAAGAGATACATTTTATGAGATTCCCCCAGAAACTTGGGAGAAGTCAGAATTAGCGATACACTTCAATAACAGACCGATGTAGTATGTTGTGGCAAAATCGTTTTCAAAATCCTAGCACTGACTGTTATCAATCGAGAAAGAAAGGAAAAAAGAGATGGAAAAAACATGTGTGTGGAAGAGATAGCGTACAGAGTGCATAATAGCACTAGAGAGTGACATTATATTACGGTCCATCTAAATTAGGTGAAGTTGTTCTGGTTCCCCAGAGCAGGACGGACTCTTGAAAACGAAAATGATTAGCCATAAACTCATTTTTCTTGCACTACACAATTCCAAAAGTCAAACAGCAAAAAACTAGTAAGGCCCTATTACACTATCACATTCAGGTACAATTTGCTTCACATTTTTTCTGTGGTTGCGGAAAACGAGAGAATGTAATAGTGTACGCTTCAAGTTGCTTGTATTTGCTTGTTGAGTGGAAATTTAACCCATCTTGAGGAATTTTAATCCATCT